GGTTGTGTGGTTGTGTGGTTGTGTGATTCTCGCAGGTGCTACTGGTGGTGATGTGTGCTTTCAAGCACAGCTGTAGACCAACAAATGGCTGCACCACGCGATGCAACGGCCAGGCGCAGTGTTACTGCCAAGATCAACCACCAGACAATGTGGGCTTTTGATGGTAACCTTGAAACATAAGAAGGGCCCCATGGTACTATTTTGACATGGAAATTACAGATGATTGGCTAGTCGTCATTGTCGTCGACCGAGAAACCCATTAAGGCAACAATGACGCTGTTGGGAAATTCGCTGGATCAGGATCTTATGTCCAATGTCACGGAGCCAGGTGTCGACCTCGCTTCAAACCATCATAGCGACGGTCAGCCAGGCTTACGTGATGGTGCAGAACAGCCATGGATGGAGATGATGCACGCGGATGTACAGCAAGCTTCGAGTATACAAGATTCCGAGGTCCATGCGCCGAACACACAAGACACAGGCACACAACACATAGATACACAAGACACAGACGCACAAGACACAGACATTGATTGGTTAGACAGTGAAGCCTCAGACAACGAAAAGTCAGACAGTGAAGAACCAATCAACACAGTGTCAGATACGATAGAGACAGAAGAGCGATGTACACATGCACCGAGTGCATCCCCAGCAGGCCGCGTAACCCAGCAGTTGACAAAAAGCACATATTCTATGGCGCCGTCTTCGGAAAGGATTAATAGAATCCACAGCCCTCCCTCACAGAGCCTGTCGAAGAGAACCAAGTCAACTCAACAAGTGGCAGTACTTCCTGGGAGTGAGGAACGGGGGATAACAGACGGGAATCAAATCGCACCAAGCATAGACAATATTCCTGAGCAGATTCGATTCTTCGATTTGCACTTCGACAATGTCTCCAAGGAGTACCGTGTCACGCGCCTCCGGAGAGATGTTCGCAACTGGCATGATCTTCAACCTGATTCCACCTGTACGTGCCAGGACGAGACGTTCTGGCGCGGCGACCTTGTTCATATCAAGCTGCACGGCAAAAGGGATGTTCGACAAGGAGACGACGTTGCGCGTGTCGATGATATCAGAATGCTCTCGGTGGATGATGAACGAAGACTGGTATTGATCACATGGCTCTACCTTGCCGACGGTCGACTGTACGAGAGCAATCACTTGCAAATCGTGCTCTGGGATACCATTACACGACGTGCAACCCAGGCCCTAGCCAACAAAGTTCATCCTCTACAACTGTACAATGTCTGTGGGGGCAAGAAGTTCTGTTCTGCTGAGCAAACCAAACAATGGCATGTGAGGAAGGCATATGTGCTCAGCCACGGTCACTCGTCCGGTCCTGAGTAGGGCCAAGATCAAGGCAAGAGATGATATAAGAGACAGCTAAAGTACACGTACATGCATGCTAGTCTTTCGATTGTTGAGTGAAATTTATTTCTGTGCGCTTGACCACCCTTGATCGTATGTTATCTTCGCCAGAGTATGTATTTCAAGGCGCTATGCGACTTCTGGCAAACGATAGCTGGACAGAATGATGAGCACCAGCGTGAACGCACCATTCGAACCTGGTTCCAAGGTGCCGCCGGAGACGACCTGAACACCAGCTCGGGCTTGCTGGCTCTGACATCTTGTCTGTTCCCTCATCGACGGCGCGATCGAGTGTACGGCTTACGAGAGAAGTCACTAGCCGACATTGCCATTCGTACATGGTCCGTCGGCCACAGTCGTGCTCGACACCTTCATGAATGGCAATCAAGCCATGGTGCTCCAGACTTTGCTGCTACGGTCCGGACATTGGTGGAAGAGGGAGGCGAAGTAGCACACGTTCATGGTCCACCCACGTTAGAAGAGATCAACCATGTGCTGGATCATTTGGCATCCGGCTGCCCTTTCTCGTCACCAAAGATCCGGGCTTCTTTTCAACATGAGAATCACAGCCCACGCCAGGGGGTCATTGATATGCTGCAACGGATGAGTGGCTTGGAAGCAGAGTGGATGTGCCGTTTGATTTTGGGCAATCTGGGTCAAGTTCAATTGCCTGAAGAGCTCGTAATGAATTTCCTCCATCCTGCTCTTGGGACCGCGCTTCAAGTACACGATGGACTCGTTGACGCAGTGGCGCTGATCATGACTCCACGGGGAGACGGAGAATCAAGTATGCAATACCAGCATACGTTAAAATGGCGACCACAGTTGGGCACGGCCATCCGTCGTCCAACATTCGAAAAAGCCCGAAGCATCCAGCATTGTCGTCGACTGCTGGGACGACAACCGGTTTACGTTGAGCGAAAGTATGACGGAGAATACTGTCAGATCCATGTTCGCCTCCTGCCGGCAGGGTACGCAGATATCAAGATCTTCTCCAAGAGTGGACGGGATTCGACCGCAGATCGTACAGCACTCACCCCTACAATTCATCGGTGTCTTAACATCGGAAATCGAGACTGCCAAATCAACACGAGATGTGTACTGATTGGTGAGCTGGTGGTCTGGCATGATGCACAACAGGACATCATGCCGTTCTACGAAATCCGCCGATACATTCTGCGGGCTGGTCGTCATCTTGGTTGTGGCCGCGACTCACCTCCGCTAGCGGAGGAGCACCTGATGATCGTGCTCTTCGATTGTTTCCTCCTTGATAACGTCGATTGCATATTCGAACCGTATATGCAACGACGAAATCGACTCGCATGTGTTGTGCGTCCTGTGCCAGGACACGCTGTGATCGGTGAGTATACGATGATAGACATGAGCAGCGGCGATGCTGCTAACCAGATCACAAACCGACTAGCACATGCAATTTCTCATCAATGGGAAGGATTGATATTCAAGCCATCTGAAGCACCCTACTTGTCTCTCGAAGGGCACCAGTAGCATCAGGTGAAATTAAGAAAGGACATGATCCCAAGCTTGGGCGATTCGGCCGACCTTGTGGTCATTGGGGGAGCTCATGACGTAAAATATGGCGCGTCCGAGTGGTGGACAATATTCTACCTCGCTTGTGTTGATCTGACCGCAGGAGGCGCAGATGATCCGACCTTGCACAGCTTCCGCATCGTTGCTGCCGTGTCGCGACCTGCTGTTAGTATAACAGATATGCGCTTTCTCAATTGACATGGGAAAGCGCACTACCTGACGCCTTTCGACGTGGCGGCCACCCCTCACATTGAGTCTGAACTTACAGGCCAGCCTCCTCCCACCGCCATTTTCATGCGTCCTCTCGTGGTCGAAGTGGTGGGGGCCGGTTTTGACCGTTTGCCAAACTCACGATTCGAGAGCCTCCGGTTCTCACGTGTGGTCAAGATTCACCTGGACCGATCATTCAGAGATGCTGTGACTAGTGAGCGATATTGGCACATGGCCGAGAAAAGTCAACACGGTGACATCAACGGCGATGGCGCTAGCTTCCAATACTGGCTATCTCGTATGACTGAATGCGTCAATCGTCCGGACACCTCGAGATATGCATCACGAACTGCTTCAGGGTCGGCAAAGTCATCAAGGAAACGATACAGAGAGATCGAAGAGGTAGGAGGGGTCAAATGAGAGAAGAGGATCTGCGGATTATCAGCATGACGGCTGCGAAAAAGATGAATCTCAGAAATCACGTTACATTGTCTGTCCAAGAGTAATTCTGTGTCTTCAGCAGTTCCACGAACGGATACCCCCGTTCACGCAATAAAGCGAAGGAATCAACACGTTCTATGACAAGGCCAAGCTTCTATGTCTTAGGTATCGCCACTATTAGCATGAGCAGCATCTTCGGCCGTACATGAAGGACTGTGATACGGAATCTCCAAGTGCATATTGTACGCGATCTGACCAATGAAGAGCACAGTAGACTCAAAGCAAAGTCTTCTGTGTTGAATGAGTACCGCGGTATCCAGGTGCACGGGCCACAGCAACGGTCTCTTAGTTGTGGCCCGTGCGCTCAGGCAGCAGCAAGTGTGGAATCAATAAAATTCAATTATTCACAGAGGTAGAGACCTCTACGGATTCTTTCAGCAGTCCGTCATCAGTCGCGCTGTGTCAGAATTAGAAAGGGGCAAGCACATACCTTGAGCAAGGAGCGCTACGGAAATGCCTTTTCCGCCAGCCACCAAGTGGAAGCTTCTGATGATGATAGTTTTGCCCCGTGTGCACAAACGGGGGTGCGACTAATTACAGCTGACCTTGAGAGAAGATGAGAAAGCAATTGCAAGGCAGATTCGCGACAATCCCAAATACCAAGCTTTCGAGACCGATTTTGAGGCCGTTCAGCGGCTCCGTTTGCGGTGTCAGGAAAGCTCGGCTTTGCGATAGCCGAATTGCAAAGATGGCACCCATGGTCACAACAAACGAAATGAGCCTGCTGCCTGCTGCCTCAACCAGATCCAGATGGCGCAGTAACGCTGGGATGTCGCCAAGTCGTGCAGAACTCGTGGAACGAGCCGGTGACTCTGGCGCGGGTGTCCAGAGGTTTTTCGACCTCCACAAAAGAGTTCCGATGTCACAAAGGGAAGCGATGAAGCGAGATCTCTCAGGACTGACAGTGCCGCTGTTAGAACGACGAGCATGGCATGCTTTGTCACGCCTGCTAGTGGAACAAACAGGGCAGCGCCACAGTCTACAGGGGCGCATCCTTGCTGTTCAGCTCGAGAACTGAGTAATTACCTGGTCCTTGCTTCCTGGACTAGCTGATGCTTGTGGCGTACCTGCGTAGCTGCGCAGCCTTTTCTTTCTTTGTCTCTGATGCCAACTGCACGTGAGAGCAAAAATCATAACAGCAATAACAACCTCTAGTTTGAGAAGAAGCGACAAGCTCGCCATCGACACGAAGTAGCCCAATATACATTGGCAAGCGCAGCTCAGCTGTCAGCTGGCGAGACTTCGTTCCTGGACATCATTTTGTCCATTACATTCCACTGCTCCGGTTTGGCCGCATCCTGTGGAATGTATGCGAGCACACCTGGGTTATACTTTTGGGACACCTTCTCCACCAAGGGCCTGTAGATGTACCAGGCACGGTATGCGCTCTTGGACTTAGGCGCCAGTGCCCAAAGATAGTTCATTGCCTTTCTTAACGCCATCATCACCTCCGCAGTCTCGTCTTGCATGTGCTGGCAATTCAGACAAAGCTCCAGAGTCAATACTGCCGTTGTTTGTGAGATGAGGTGCAGGAGTGACCACCACGGAAAGACAGATAGCACCTGTTCCGCCACTGGGGCGTCGGGAAGCAGTTCTGTCATACGAATAGCCGCCATGACGCCTGCACGGGCCGAAGCATTGTTGAACCGAATGCTTTCGGCAGATTCATCCTCGATACGGATCTCACACAAGAATGGCCGGTAGAGGATCATCTGTAAACTGCACAAGCCCAAAGCAACGTCCAAATTGGCACGTGGGTCTAAGTTTGACTCTCCGATCGTCTCAATCCTCAGATCTGGATGTAAGGACTCCTGCCATTGTCTGAGGTCAGACACCAAGTCTCGGACCGTCTTTTGGACATCAGCCCAGGTTGAGTCGGAGGGACTAAGATACAAATTGGATGCAACTTTAGTACTTAGAATGCTCAGCTGGAGGGTGGCTGCAAAGTGGATCTCACACGTATCAGTTCCCACACGCGCCAACTTTGACCACGGGATGATGCCACCAGCAGAGTTCTCCACAGTTCGGTTGAGGCCGTCCAAGACGTCGTCCCAAGCTTGAAGATTATAGCGACTCATCTCGGTGTCCTCCTCCTTCTCGGTTATTAAGCCCGTCGGAGTCGTGATATCGTTGTCGTTAACACATTTCGGCCGACCAGTAATCTCCGAGAGCAAAACTTCCATCCGGTACAATGACCACCAGACTCGTGCCCTCCGCCGTAAATCTCTAGCTGTGAAGACGCCAGGAAAGACTTCAAGATGCAAACCTAGTGCCATAGCATGTCTGATGGTTTGCGCGACCATATTCCATGCCCTCCTGTCGTTCAGCGCAAGACAAATACAAAGGAAAGGGTACTGACCTATGAACGCTCCCATTCGAAAGCAGATAGAAGCCAAGTACAGCCATACCCTGTAGCATCTCGAAGCTTGGATGTTCAAGTTGCATTCTATGATCGAGCCCAAGGGAGCGAGCGCGCGCATAATACACAAGATGTCCTTCGACCGCCATAGCTCCGTGATGATCTGGGATGATGCGATCCTTCAGTCCGACAAGGTCGATCCAACGAGCACCGACCGCCCACATCATGTTGGCCACCGCCAGCGTTCTCCGCTGCGACAAGCCTGATGCAATTCGAGTAACAGTATTGTCGTAGACGCTCTGCAGATCCCTGAGAAAGTCGGCCCTGTCGACAAAGCGGAAGCACTGGTGCACCGAGTGGAAGTACGCCTCGGTCAGTACCTGTGCTACGTGCCAAGGTGGCATGACGTGTGGATCGACGTAATCTTCTGTGAGGAGAATCATCATCAGCGCGATGTGAGACAGGATACGGTCAAGATAGAATGCTGTCCCGCCAAATTTGCGAGCATCACAATTTGGCTGTGTACATGTCAAGACAGTCCTCGGAGAAGACTCTGGGACCTTTGACTCGAGACATTTTTCAATAAGGGTACTTTTATCAAGACTCACCATCAACTTCAAGCAGATTCACGTCGTCCGTGAAATAACTGAAACTCGTGATGGGGTAGATGTCAAAGTGAGAAGCCCTCAAGTCCAGGTCAGACTCTCCACGTGATTGGCCCTCAATCAGATGCAACCTGATCTTGTGTATCCAGGAACTATCAGACAACTTGCCGATATAGCCTACCATGCCATCGCCGTGGTCGAGATCCACCGCAGAAGCGAGCTGCCTCAGACCGTTTGGTGAGCCAACATCTGATCTCGCACGACTTTCCCCAGCACTGGAGGGAGCAGTGACAGACCCTGCTTCCGCAGAGGAGTCATCAACCCCCCAAGCGCGACTGCTGGCGCCGACTTGGTCCTGGCTCACATGCCGTGAGGCCGTACGTAAGGTCTCCCCCTGGGTTTTGGTTACCTTATCGATTATTTCGAGGACCCATGGAAGATTCTCGCTCTCGAAATTGCTACCGTTGACGACAGAGTTCAATGCAGTAAGGAGAAGGTGCCTCTGATTCCGCAGGTCGTCGATCTGCTGTGCGCTCCGCGCTAAGTCTCTTTCAAATTTGTCAGTACATTTCTGAATCAGCGAACGAGCTTATACTTTTTATTGCGCTCACGTTTGCGATCACTATACAAACATATGGCATCATCCTTGGTACATTTGGTGCAGCGGGTACCACCGGAACATTTGATGCGAAGTTCACGACAACGGTCGCAAGCGTGGCTGGTGCGTACCCGAGCAGGCACCTCAATTCGACGGTTCCGACCTAGCGATTCGATGGGTATTCGCTGGGCCTGCGCCTGTGCCTGTTCTGAGATTCTAAGCGCCATCGGAACAGTCAATTGTGGTTCCCCAGTGTTGAACATCAAGCCGGCTGCTCAGATCCACGTATAACATCACGAGCTCGGCGAATGTCAGAATTGATCAGAGGACCGGATCCACTGAGAGGCCGTTGCTACAGCAGGATGGCATGCGAGGGCCTCGAATGGCCATTCACGATATTATTGAGGCTCCAGATACGAGGAGTAGCATTTGGGGCTTAAGCTATGCTTCGTCGTGCTTAAGACCTTCCGATGCGGGGAGCGCTCTCTGAATGACGTCAGAGGCAAGCAGGCGGTAATAACGGAGAAGGCTTCCCCGACCAATGAGAAGCCCGACTACGTGGCAGATATACCAGCTCGTGCCCAATAAGTGACTCCGTTGCATCATCTGGGGGATGTTACAGCACGCCTCAGCATACACCACGATTTTGATTGCTATGAGACTGTTGTCGTCGCTAAGATGGACAATTTGCCACTAAAGCCGCCAATCTGGCGGCAAAGAGGCCACCAGGCTGCACGACCACGATCGCCAGTCAAGCCGTGACTCAACTCGGATCCTGACGTCCACCACCAAGACCGCCATCTGCCAGACGGGGAAAGCTGCGTAACAACAAAGCTGGGCAACGGCGAAGCACGGACGCGAACTCTTCAGGTTGATCCAGTATTGAGGGAATGGGCATGTTGTCTTCGTGAGCAAGGTAGGACTCTCGACGGGGTTCGCAAAGACTGCTGGCTGATCGTCTCAAAGTTTCCAAGATTCCTCGGCCAACGAGAAGATCGGTCCGTCGTTATATCGATGTCCGAACAACATCCGTGGCAGATGGCATGCTACAGCATATGCATTTCACTGACTGTTGCGCGGCAGCCACAGTACCGTTTGCTACCAGCACGTCAGGGGTGAGACGCAACAGATCATTGCCAGACCGCAGCATGATTCTATGGAAGCTATCATGATGTTAGAAAAAAGTAGAAGTTAATACATCGCTGATGAAGTCACGATCCTGAGGCCTTACGCACCTATGACCATGTGATGGGTCTGAGCTTGAGCGAGAATCTGCAGCCTGAAACGGGGCATCCAGCCGACACTTGCGTTTTATGTTGATAGTCACAGCCAGGGATGACAGAACATTGGTGACCGGTCTAGGTGCGCATTGAGGTCCGTGTCCTTTATGAAATGTGACAGGTCGCAGTATCATGCACGTCAAGTACCTGCCTCCATGAACGAGCCTTATCTAATTGGCTGCCGCATCATACTCAAAACCATGTCACCAATTGAACCAGTCGAGGGCCAAGCAATGCAAGCGAGACATGTCCCACAGTCCTTTTAATCAACATGCTCGCATCTGCAGCATCCTGGTGTCGCACAGGTCCTAACTTCAGTGATACGAGGAAAACCAATAAACCTTAGCCCAATGCGTGCGCATTATAATGATAAGTACAGGCGAGGATGACGGCAGGTTGGTGACAGGTCTAGGTTCGTGTCGAGGGTCGTGTCCTTTGTGAGCTCCTGGCCGTGGAGACGAACTAGGATCATAGATAGCTGAGCCGCTCGATCCACGGGTGATTGCTTGCAGGTCTTCCGCCCAGTCTAGGGCCATCTGCTGCTCAGCTAAGCTAATGCCATCAAAATGACAATTTTTCCCACAAAGATTGCCGACATCTATTAACCGCAACGCAGCAGTCTGATGTCGTTGTTATCAGATAAGCTTTGCGCTCAGCCTTTTAGAAGGGCTTATTTTGGTTCGGAGCTTGAAAATTGCCAAGCCTTTTCACGTCGTCCGGCCGACCATCTCGCCGCCCCGCATGCGCTGCTCTTGTCGCAACCTCACCTCACTCACGTCGAACCTCATTGACAAGTTTCCCGCCGTCCGTCCTGCACAATTGAGAGTACGCACATACTCGCGCCAGTGCGCCACTAGACTGATGAGCTGCGCGACAATGCCGCAACCATGCTGAGCTTGGAAACAAGGATCCTGGACTGGCTCGACACCGTCCACATACCCACCTCCCACGATCGCACGAATTCGGCAAGCGGCAGCCCCTTCAATCTGTCGAAGAAGCGCAAGCTTGAGATCTCGGTCATGGAGGCGGACAACAACTTCGACGCTAGTGCGAACTTCGACGCCAATGCCACTCCTCGAGCACCACGACCGAAGAAAGCGCGCTCCCAAGGAAACACAGGCCCAACGCCCCCAACAAGCTTTCCACCTAGCGATGGCGGTGACACATACAGTACGACCTCGTCAGTTTCTTTACATACCCGCAGCTCGAGTCCAACAAAGAGGAAGCGCACGCTGGCGACTTCAACACCACAAGTTGTATTTGAGCAGCGATCAGCGCTTCGCAGTCACAGAGCGCAGCTAGAGGCAGAACGACCAATGCTTAAAGAGCTTGGGACGGCGATACGCGCAGCTAATTTGAACCTGCCGAACGGTCTGAAGAACTACTTTGACGAAACTTGGGTACCGGAGGATGGCGCACGCCCCAATTTTGCACACGCAGGCAACGAGTTCCTGGACAAGTTCTCGAACCTCGAAAAGTTCATACGCAAAACAACACGACGCGTTGACTTCTGCAAAAACAAAGACGTCTCGGAGGATGAGTGGTGTGACTTGGTCGTCTACCCTTGTCTCAAAACCGCAGCCAAATCCATTGGCATCTGGACGCCTGAACGAGTCGTCAGAGTGACGAATTATTACATTCTGCCACAAAGATTGCTACCAAACGATAGCTTCGGCAACTCAATCACATGCCGAACCGATTTCGCCCTCGGACAATCGCCCAGTCCCGTCCTGCAGTTGAGTCAGGTTCCAGACCAGTCGCTCTCGCAGTACACGCATAAGAGACTGTCCAGCTTGGCTCTCTTCGCGACAGTCGAAGTCAAGCGGACCGTAAGCTCAGGAGATGGGCTCGATCAGTTGGCGGTGTGGTGTGCCGCGGGTTTCGCAAAATTAGCAGAGCTTCGACATGGTCATCGTATGGAAAGTCGCCTGGATCAAACACGAGAACCGTCGAAAGCAATACTCTGTTTGTGGGCCTGGAGGGGCCACATGGTCTCTCTGCACATTGCCGTCGAGGAGTCTGCTGAGAAGATCGTCATGTACGAGTGGATGGAGTGGAATGTTGGTGTGCCTGATAATCTCGTCCGACTCATCACAACATTCGCGGCGGTAATGCAATGGGGTTCTGCACACTTCGTTCCAGATATCGTTGACACAACCCCGGAACATGTTTCATGAGCGAGGGCGGCTAATCTCCTTGCTTGAAAGTGCTGGCTGCGGTCAGGTCGAATCAGGAGCATTCACTTGTTAAGCCGATCTCTAGCGACCATCCATAGGATCAGGCTGAGCAGCGACGATTGGCCTTAGCAGCACTATAGGCTGCCACACCTGGCTTCCAAAAACAAGGATGTTAGCTGCGTCGGGCTCCTCGGAAAGCCTTAGAATAGGTCCGAGGCACCGTGGTTTTGGCCTCCAGTCCCCTTGGCTCCCAAATTCCAACGACCGCGAATTCCGCAACTACTAAGCAGGGACTGACTATTTGAGCAGTAGTACAACTAGCCTGGAAAAATATAGGCAGTAGTGGGTTCCAAGCCATCCTTGAGCCACACAGAGAGTGGCTTGAAGGGCGACATGGCTCAGAGACGTACATTGAGATTGGGGGTTATCTGCTTACAAAGCCGGCACATATATTCGGCGGCTATGCTTCATCGGGCCGAAGGCTCCGACTCGATCTAAATGGACGGGCTGGATACCCACACATCGAAATGATACACTGGCCCATCGTTTAGATCCATCAGCAGCCCTTCCTTCCCTGTGACTTCTGCATCATGCACCTATGCCGGTCAACATGGCGAGCAAGTGGAAACATTCTGCGCCGCACTGCAAACTTCCAATAACTGACCGTATTACCCATTCCCCAGCGTCATGGCACTTGATTCTCTCAAGTGCCTATTCCCGCGCGTTGCGGGTGACGGGCTTGATCAAGATGTGTACGATACTCTGCGAAGAGTACCCAGCAATGATTCCCGTGAGCTCAGATCCACAACATAACCCACAACCGAAGCCCTTACATCCAAAGCCTGTCCCTGGCGTTTCTTGAACACACCACTACACAAGCTGGGAGAATTGTATATGAGAACATGCTGTCCCTGTACCTACAACAGGTGTTCAGTAGATTCTCACAGCCTCTGGTATTTCGACTGACACCTCGGTTGACAGTCTGACGGTTGGCGACCGAGACCATTCTGCTAACATGAAATTCGAAGTTACAACTCTAGCCTAGAATCAATGGCTGGAGTTAGTCAAAGCACCAATCACAGCGCTGCGCTTTGGATACGTTGGTGGGTCCACCCGGCAAGGGGGAGTCCACAATCAATCCTCGATTCTACTGGACAAAGATGCTTGACCATCTACTAGGCAGCTGCATCCAGTACCTGCATCTTATAAGCCATGGGCTGTACTTCGTATTCCCTAATGGGATGGAGATCAATGCTCTATATCAAGTATGGGCCGACCGCAAGCTACGAAGCCAACAGCGCCAAACAAAATTATTGCCAAACCACAAAAATGGCCGCACTGTTGACGAAGTTCGATAATTCTGACAAGCGTGCCTCGAGTACCGCCATAGAGGGCATTGAGCTCCCACGATGGCGAGGTCAGTCGCGATCATCATCAAGCCTACGCACTTCAAGTCTCTTCGACGATGCCCAGACTGAAGCAAGCTCCTTGTATTCTCGATCAGCTACGTTGACTCCCGCTACCACCACCGAGTCTGCGTGTTTCGGATCTATCAGTCTCCACGACCTGCAGCCGATCCGGACACTGCTCTTCTCTCGGTCGGTCCTCTGGTCAGATCCAACTATTAGCCTCGCGTCCGGATTGCCAGATGTGCAGGATACGCCGCTGTATCATGCCTCGACCCATGAACTGAAGGTCTGGTTGCCAGACGTAATCTCGTATCGCAGCACTCCCACAGTCCCGAAAGCGTTCATCATAGCGGCTGCTCACTTCCGATTCAGTCGAAACGCTCGTCTTGCATTTGGCAACAATCTGAAGAAGCTGAATGGCGCAGACACGCATAATGGTGATGTTGCGTGGGAGTTGCTGAAGAATACGAGTACATTCCTCTGTCACTACCAGTACGACTTCATCGTTCCCCAGAATTACGAGCCCAGGTCGGTATCGCTCGCTGAGGACCAATATCCTGATAAACCTACTTAAAAGGTTTCAGTCGACAACAGAATGACCGGAACGCCATATGTCCAAGCAGCACGCCGAAGCTTCCGCCTTTACCGCACTCACGCCGCAACCGACGGCGTAGATGGATGGCTGGGCTGGGCAAGTTTCCGAAACTACAAGATTATTGATCTGATGACATGGGAGGTAGTGGGGCATCTTCCTGAGCAGCGGTTTACGGAGCTTGACAAAAATGGGTGAGCTCAGGCTGTACGAGGACTTATCCGAAGAGGTGCAGAGAGGTATCGTACTGGCTGTCTGCGTGGTGTGTGAGAAGCATATCAGGAGGTGTAGGAAGCGCCGTGCTGGTGATGCCGGTGGTGGGAAGTGATAGTTGGGATATGGTCGTTGACATGCTGATGGTGAGGATCGTCTCTGATCACAAGTGGCTGAATTTGGTGAACAAAGGCTTCTTCGCCTTGTTTGTGCTGAGTGGAATCTGCACATTCTGGGAAGAGCTGCTCGAGGACCAAGGTGCACAAGGAACATACAGCGATGGCCACGGATTGGAGTATTATAATATCGGTGCGATGTTAACGAGCTATTACGGGCTCTATTGGCAGGTTGGCGTTGTTACTCCTGCGTCCAAGTTATTGTGCCACTTAGTCGTCGCTCCCTTCAGTGCGATATGATCTGACCATATCCTCAACGTTTCTGGGTCTGCTTTATTTGCCAAGACAGAGCTTGAGCGTTGTGAGTGGTTGATGGGCGAAATGTGCAAGAATGCAGATCACCCTAAGAACTTCATGCGAGGGAGAAACGCCATCACCGAAATGCATGCTCGAATTAGGGAGCGGCGCAAATCGCGCTACAAGACAGCTGGATCGGGTTGAATGTTGATTGTTGAATTGCCTAGTTCCTGTCTCATGCAGAGTCATCCATGCAGACAGTATTGATCATATCCTCCACGCTGCTTTGTCTTCGCCGAGGTTGACGCCTTGCAACAACGACTATATACCGGGCAGTGGTATAACGCAGAATAAACCATGGATGAGACTGGCACATCAGCTACCCTGTTCTAATCATCAACCTAAATCCCACACCCGGGGACTTCAAGTGCATTGTGCCTGGGTGTACCATCCGCGGAGAGGATCTCAACTTCCCAAGGCGGGTGAAGAATCAACGCAAGCAATCATGTGCCATATCTACCTTACCTGAGCTCACTCGGCTTTGGCCGGATCCCTTTCATTTTTTACAGGCGCAAACTCTTCTAATTGAAGTACCAAATAGCGGATTCCTGGACACAGCGGAGTTGCCTCTATCAACGCCACTGTGATCAGCGGCTTTTCTTCCAGCCCTTGCACGTCCGGGGAATGTAGCTACGCATACCTCGTGGCTTCTCAGCATCATTGCCACGAACCCTAGACGACGAAGATGTAGAGCCGGACACCGTCGCGATCCGTCAGCTCGGTGAAGCTCAGAGGAGGACAGATAGCTGGAGATCAGAGAGCCTCGGCTTTCATCCTCCTCTGATGGTCCTCCGTCTCTGCCAAGTTAAAAGGCACAGTGTCGTGGCTTGCCAAGGCTGTAACTTTTTAGCTCTAGACCATGCCAAGTCCGCTTCTGTGTTTGCCCATGGCGAATCAGCTAACGCCGTTCCCTCTGGCTCGGAGTTTTGGGGTGTCGTAGCTGGCAGGACTCATGTGCCTGGCTCCACTTCCCCGCCTGTGGCGACCTCCAGCCCAGACAAAGTCAGATCATCATGGATGGTGGTTAAGCAGGGGAATTGGAGCCACCAAGATCTTGGCGGTTTCCTGCTCAGATCCGGGTCCTGGTGCCTCTCGATTATAGATGCTAGACTTTTCCGATGCTTTGCAACCGAGGACAATTCTGTTCTTCACCTTAATTTCACCGACTCCGGAAATACAGTCCCTTCGACATGGCAACCCACCACCAAGAGAAGGCCCAGGCATTAGGCTTCGAGGGCGTCGAGTCCAATGCTCCATCCGATGACGACTTCGCTCGCATCGATGCCTTCACTACGACAGAACAAAAGAAGATAATCAGACGCATCGATCGCCGCCTGGTTTTGACGCTGGCATTCATGTACTGCGTCAGTCTGATGGACCGAACCAACTCGTAGGCCGTCTTGACGCAGCGCATATCACAAAGCTGACATAAACACTTTAGGGGTATCGCTGGCGTGGCTGGCATGGGCGTCGACCTCAGGTTGGACATCGGCGCGAGATACAGCATCATCACTCTTGTCTTCTTCTTCACATACGTATTCCTCCAGCCACCAGCCACTGTCATACTCCGCAAGATGGGGCCAAAGTTGTTCCTACCCACCATCTGCCTCGCCTGGGGTATTCTCACCGTCGGGTTTGGATCCGTTCACCAATGGTTGAGATGATCCCCCTGCGACTGGTTCTGGGCGTGCTCGAGGCTGGGTTTTCCCCTGGTATGTTGGATCCAACCGATACCAGAGACACGCTAATGAAGCATAGGCTGCACCTACCTGCTCTCTTGCTGGTATCCCCGCTACGAGCTACAGAAGCGCAATGCAGTGTTTTATCTTATCGGGAGTATGGCCTCCGCCTTCTCCGGCATCTTGTCGTACGGCTTCATGCAGATGAACTCTCTGGGCTCGGGCGACAATCTTGGCCAAAGCTAAGGTCCAACTCAACTGAATCCCACCGCCCCTTCCGGCCGGCTACCAGGAATCGCCGGTTGGCGCTGGATCTTCATCATGCAGGGCGTTCTCACTTGCGCCGTTGCTCTCGTCGGATTCGTGACTATTGTCGATTTCCCGTGAGTACTACGCCGCGCACATTCAAGCCCAGCGCTTCGGCTAATAGAAGATCAGTGAATTTGCATCCAATTCTTGGCTAGGCATGAAGTTCCTCACCAAGGCCGAATCCGACTTCGTGGTGGCCCGCATCAACAAAGACCGCAGTGATGCTCTCGCCGAGCCATTCCAATTGGGCAAGTATCTAAAGCACGGCGCTGACCTGAAAGTCTGGGCCTTTGCCGCGCTCTGTGGGTTGACGACCACCATTACCTACGCCATTGCTTTCTTTTTGCCTATTATCCTACGGGATGGTATGGGTTTCAGTGTTGCGGCAGCACAATGTTTGGTTGCTCCACCATATGTGCTTGCGGCAATTGTCATGTTCGGTATGGCCTGGTTTGGTGACAAGTGGCATATTCGCTCTCCATTCATCCTTGCCAACGGCATACTGGCGCTTATCGGTTAGTTGGATTCATCTACTGCCTTTCAGACACCAGCTAACGTGTGTCTCAGGTCTTCCGCTCCTGGGCTTCGCCTCCAACGTCGGCGTACGATACTTTGGCGTCTTTCTGGCAACTACAGCTGCCAACGCCAACGTCCCGTGTGTCCTTACCTGGCAAGCGAACAACATTCGCGGGCAGTGGAAGCGCGCACTGTGCTCGGCCACGCTGGTCGGCTCCGGCGGTATCGGTGGTATCATTGGTTCGGTGGTGTTCCGCAGCCAGGACGCCCCTGAGTACCGTCCTGGTATCTATTGCACGATGACCGCCGCCGCACTGATTATCATCATCACCCTGACCCTTGATTTCAAGTTCTGGCGGGCAAACAAGCGTGTTGATGATGGAGGCAAGAGTATTGAGGGGCTGCAGGGATTCAAGTATACGCTGTAGTGTCTCTATACGACGACACTGGGTCAATTGGTCCCGCGAGAATCCCGGACCATTTCAAGTACCAGTGCACCGCGGACTCAGTTAGTAGCTCGGGTGATGCGATCCAATTGTCAGGCAGTACGCAATTGGTTTATGAATTCGGCATACCTCCATGTTCAATCCCTCTACATTATGGTCCAAGTCATTGATGACTATCTGGGTGCTGGTTAATGTTCTGGTAGACCTCCTTGTTCACGGGGCATATCACACGACGATACCGGCCTGCTGTTGTTTAAATCAACCCCAATCCAACTCTCCGAGGAAGGGAGTGTTTCAGCGCGCAGCCACTAGACGAGGAGGTCTGTCTTCCTTCTCCCATCTTAAGTTGTATGCAGCGTAGCCTGGTCTGGGAAGATCGATGTTGCTGTCGCCCGTTAAAGCTTTCATAAATACACCATGAGTGACGACGACCACATGTCGTCTGGAATGACTTTGCTGCGACGCTAAAAGACCTTCCAACGTTTCACATAGTCTAACGACTCGAGCTTCGATTACCTCTTTTTCTGCCGAATAACGGCCCGTCTTCGATTTCCATGCCTTTTCTTCACCACCAGGTAATCGAGAGAAATCAAGGAGGGGAAACATGTGCAGTAATGTCTCTCGGTCTGAGCACGTGTCGCAAGGTAAAGTACTCTGCTCCTGCGCATCTAGGTCGATAACCAATGTAGCGCCTTCGTCAATACCCTTGCCACTAGACGGTTCGAAGTAGCGTCTCTCTAGGATATTCGAGAATGCTGCCAACGCAGTTTGGATGGCACGTTGTGATGGAGATGACAGCACAACACCCACTGTATCTGAAAAGGGAAATGTGGACCCGAATTGCGTCGCCGCTGCACTCCCCGCAGTTGTCAAAGGAGGATCGAGCTGCTGGAAATTTTTGTCCACGTTGTGCTGTGATTCAGCGTGGCGGACAAGAAAGACGTCGCCCAAAGACATGGTTTGAGCTGAAGAGATGAGATGTGAAAACGGCGTAGGACATCCGGTGTCGAGTGGCATTTTTACCAGTCGATGGATAATCGTCAATCACGCCATACCTCAACGCAATCCCTGGAGATCAAGAAATGGGGCGCCGTCTTGCCGCTGGCGAGTTGCTTCTTGGCCTTGAAGGGACGACAAGCACGTGCTCGCAGTCTAGATCTTATTGGCGTTGCCCTGCTTCTCCTCACAACGCTCATATTTTCAAGGAGATGTGTCTGTCAACTTTTCTGTCGCTTTCTCACCTCATAGCGGCCGAGTCCACGAGTGAAGGCCTGTCAATGCTGGAAAGACTTGCAAACGCTCGACGGTAACATTCAGACCTCCTCAGAATGCCGATCGTCCCTTTTCTCCGCTCGTTGCGTGAGTACGCGCACGATGAAAATAATGCATATCTGGCAAATACCAACAAGTTTCTTTGGCGCTTGGGAGACGTTACTGGAAGAACATGGGATCTCGGTTTCACTGCATTTGGCGGTCCGCCTGTCCACTTTCAAATCGAGCACCGTCGGTTCGTCCAGGGTACTCGTGGCCGCATCCCATGGATTGACGAACGAGTGGTAAGACCATTTTTCTTCATGAAGCAGCCCGCGAACAGCAAGAGGTAACAGTCACTTAGTATCAGGAGTTGTTTGCGATTTGTCAGGCTTTGCCTGGACCTGGAAGCACCAAAATGTTATTCTGCATTGTCCTTATACATGCTGGCATTCTTCCTGCTCTATTCGCTTTCTTGCTCTGGAGGTGAGTCCAGGTACATAATATGATCTTCAGGTGGATTGATTCTTACTTTACAGTTTACCGGGTGCGATTGGCATGTTCTGCTTATCCTTGGGAGTTCGCCAAATCGATGAGGTTCTACCGGCCATCGCTTATGCCTTTCTTTCGGGTCTCAACGCGTCCACAGTGGGCATTGTAGCGCTTGCTGCCGTACAAGTAAGTCGGAATTCTACATTCTCAAGAATACATTACAATGTCCTGACGCGTACCAGTTGGCAGAGAAAGCTATCAGTGACAAAATCACACGTGTACTTGTCATCTTCGGGGCCTGCGCTGGGTTATGTTACACAGCATTGTGGTACTTCCCAGTCCTTATCGTTGCCGGCGGTATTGCTACAGTTATATGGGATTTGTGGCTGGGGCAGTGTATCCGACAAGTCCGCGCCGAGATTGCTGCCAGGAAACACAGCCGTTCACGACAAAACCAGCCCTCAAGGCCCGAGGCTGATGATTCCATCGAGCTACCCGAAAATAACAATGGACCAGACGAGAACGCTGGCAGTGCCCAACGCCGACACCCAGCAACCTCGACTTCGGACAATCCAGTAGCTTCACTGAACGATGACAACCACACGCATACAATCCACGATGTTGATGCCACCGATATGCAATCCTACGCGATACCTATCCCTGTGGGCCTGGCTATAATTGCAGGATTCTTTGGTCAGTCAAAAAAGCCTTCCGTGGATACATCGCTCATCTATATCAGCGTCTTTCATTGCTCTACTTGTAACTCGTGGGGTCCTGTCCGACCCGCCAAGGTTGCTCGATCTTTTTGCAAATATGTATCTCGCGGGAACTATTATCTTTGGTGGCGGGCCAGTCGTCATTCCCCTTCTGCGAGAGTATGTTGTCCAGCCTGGATGGGTATCTACTCGAGATTTCTTGATTGGTTTGGCCATCATACAGGCGTTTCCAGGTCCAAATTTCAACTTTGCTGTGTACTTGGGAGCGCTTGCGATGATTGGCACATCTCACTCTACAGTGTTAGGTGCGTTTGTTAGCTTTGTGGGTATTTTCACGCCAGGCATAGTACTGGCTGTGGGCTTCCAAAGCCTTTGGGGACGGTTGAGGAAGAAGCCCCTGGTGAGAAGTATGTTGCGGGGTATCAATGCTGCCGCTGTGGGCCTAGTCTTCACCGCCGTGTACAGACTATGGGAGATCGGATATCTCACGCAAGAGGCTTCTGGCGGACAAAGTCTGGGACGAAATCCCTGGTGGGTAGTTGTTACTGCCTTTACTTATGCGAGTAACGCATGGTTCAGTGTCCCTGCCCCCATCGCTATTGTAAGTGGGGGGGTCTTAGGTCTCTGCTGGTACGGCGCAGTTGGATCCTGATACTGAGCACTCATGGCTTACCTTCCAGTTCAGGCCAGTCAGGGGACACGGGTCAAGAACTGCTCTCCTGTTCAGCCAAAAAATAGCTTAGTCCTCTGAACTGATGTTTCGGACACTATAAGCAGATATGATTCGATCAGGCTAGTGAGTGCGAGCATCACAAATGCGACCAATGCGACCTTTTTGGTCATTGATTTCGTACAATACTTCGGAACAGGAAGTTCGCGGCGCGCAATCGAAAACGAGTCAAATCTTCGGGGTCTACACGTTCGTTAGCGGTATACTAATGCGAGTGAAGCCGTAACGTGAGCTCAGATCCATACACACGGGATAAGGCATGCTGAGGCTGTTCAAGGGCTTTGGTCGGCATGTGACCAAATGACTGTCTTCGGATCCTGCTTGGACCAGTATTTCTTGGTTATTGAAATGTATGGCGATACTACTCAATATGATCGCAAACACGCACCAGCAAACAGTGCCTAATTCACATCTTTGGCTTCCGGTAGGTTGACCTATTGAGAATTTCTGGAAAAGAGCCTCCAACACGAAGACCGCGACGATTGTCGTCGACTCAGCATATAATTAAATGACAAGGTTTTGGCGAAAAGACTGCTAGTGCGACAAATCAGGCCGTTATAGCCAAAAGCGGATACAAAGAGGATTAAGGTCTCGATGGACACATCTAAACCCGCGACCAACTCTCCAAAATACTCTGCCGTGTGTCACGAGGGTTTCGGCGTCTTCGAATGGCGTTTTCAATGTTACGCTCATAGCGACGTCATCGCAGGTTGGCGATTCTGAGTATTCTTTTCAGATGCTCAAGGTCTTTATTTGGGACCATCGTCGTGAATTCTGCCAGTGTGGCCGCAGTGCGGTGGGCGTAAGCTGCTGTTGGTTTTGGTTTTGGTTTTGGTTTTGGTTTTGCTTTTGCTTTTGCCGTTGCACGGTCGCACGGTTGCACGGTTGCACGGTTGCGCGGTCGCGCGGTCGCACAGTCGCACGGTCGTGTAGTTGTGTGATCGTGTGGTCATGTGGCTGTGTGGTTGTGTGATCGTGTGATCATGTGGCTGTGTGGTCGTGTGGCTGTGTGGTCGTGTGGTTGTGTGGTTGTGTGGTCGTGTGGTTGTGTGGTCGTGTGGTTGCGTGGTCATGTGGTTGTGTGGTCGTGTGGTTTGACTAGTGTGACCACTGATATGAGTCGCATTGTGGCGCTGTCTCGCTGCGACGCAGCGGCAATCTGTATAGTGGCTTGACTGTCGGCATGTGCAACTAGGTTGTACGCCTGCAGTGTCGATCAGTCGACATGTTCTCGGGGACAAGCAATGAAGCAACGCACCAGAGCAACCTCGTTAGACAGTCGCGCCGAATGAGACTGGGCACGCTGCCGGATATTGGTGAGCATCGTCAAGCAGCAGTCTGGTTCATCAGTTCCTGCCTCTGGACCTAGCAATGTCGTTTGCGGCGTCTGCATCAATCTCGTCAAGCGCAGAAGTGACTGGCCGCTGCTGCTTGATCTGAGCGATTGTGGTGATCGCAGACTCCAGTGTCTCGTTAGTGTGTATCGCATGCCTGGCAAGGTCATGCAAGCGCTCAAACTGAGCCACCGCCGTCGAAGCAGAGACGCTGCACTGGGACTAGATCAGTACTGGTCTAGACCCTGTCGAGGGATGCCGGGGGGCGGGCCATCTCATCATCTTTTCGACATCTTGAATCCAGTCACGATCTTTCCTGAAATGAAGTCATTTGTGACGCATGTTCCCGGCACGAAACGGCATTATGCTATGAATTAATGCCAAAAGATGTACGCGAGCATGGAATAGCCGAGCAGATTTTCTTCCAATGCCCTCAAAAGGCTGTGACTTTCTCCAGTTGCACCCTCCTACAATATCCTCACCGCCTCATGCCAACGCCCTTGATCCGAGTATGTCGCCGCCAAGTTGGCCATGCTGGTTAGTGTCGACGGATGTTTCAACCCAGCTTCGTCTTGCGAATTTCCATCACTTGTACCTCGAGCTTTTCCGCCAAATCCCATCGCCCTTGTTTCGAGTATGTCGCCGCCAGGTTGTTCATGCTGCTCCACGTCGACGGATGATCCGGACCCAGAGTCCTCTTGTAAGTTTCCACCACCTGAACCTCTTACTCTTCCGCCGCATCCCATCGCCCTTGACTCCGGTATGTCGACGCCAAATTGGCCATGCTAGTTAGTGTGTTGGGATGATCCGACCCCAGCATGACGGTCGAGTATGAACGCACGGTTCTGCGTGACAAGTGAAGCAGGCGATCCAACCATCCACGATGCCGACGATCTACACACAAGCCCTTGCAGATACCTTGAAGCGCAATCGACGCCATTCTCTAATGTGAGCATGCATCTCAGTGATGGCTTTTCTCCTCCGAATGAAGTTCTCCGAGCTCTCGACGACCTTGCATATTCCCATCCGTATACCACTCGGAGTCTCAACACGTGGCTTTCCTGGATACATTGAGTGCTTTGGAAAGCAAGACCTACGAGGGGGAAGCCGCATAGAGTGACCTGCTTCAGCCTCAACGAGGGTATCCTCTGAAGCGAGTTTCTCGCAAGCTGTATCGTCCTCTGGTGGCTCGCCAGTCAATTCCATGCAGTCAACAATCATAGATCTCCTCCATCCAGCGATCTGGAGGGAAGCTCAAGTATATGACGACCTTCTGGACGCCGTGGCGCTGATTGTGGATCAGAGATTAAAGTGGCGGCCACAACTGGGCAAGGCGATCCGATGTCCGAGTTTGATAAAGGCCCAAAGTGTCCAGCATTGCTGTCGCGAAAATCACAGTGTATAACTTCGCTTCATCAAAAAGCAGGTCTTATGCGAAGAGGAAGTGACATTTACATCAGGGCGAGACTCTAAGGGTCTGTGTGCGCAGCCGGCTCAGACGCTCGAGCTGAGCGATAGGATATGTGTTGGTGGGCTGCATAAATATGTGCGAAGAGAGAACGAGGGGAGATTAGAGTTGGCCAGCAGCCAATCACCAGGAAAGATATTGTATGGGACATGGAAGTTGGCAGCAATAAAGGGCAAATGAGTGTAAATGACAGGGGAGGTTTCCAACCCTGCCAGGGAGACTCTTCGCTTGTCTGTTTTCCGGTGTATATGCATTTACGTACTTTATCATGTTGAAAGTCATGCTCGTATCGCTCATTGCGTTGCTGCTTGGGTCAGCGGTACCTTGCTACCACTTCGAGACCCCTTCTCCCCTGTAAGTGTCGACGCCTCAGACTGCAACTCGCGAGGAACCCCGAGCCGTAAAGGGGAGCAAAAAGTGCCTTGCGTCTTGTCGTGTCTCAGATGTAAGGTCCCTCACCAGTCCGGTTGCGCTCCAGCGGCGGACCGTACTTGCTGCTATCAGACCGTCGGAGATGGGACTGATAGTGCGGCGAGGACTGCGCCCACTGAATGACGGGATCATTTTTGGGCAGGTCTTTCTCGCTGTCGAACGCCTCGGTGTCCTGCTGCTTATACCACGCCTGGGTGCGCCGTCGATAGCCCTCGACTGCATTCATGTCCAGCTCCGCGGTATTATAGGATCTGCTAAAGCGATTGTTGAGGACGATGCTCTGGCGGCGTTCGTCGATGCTGCTGTTCTTGGGCATGGGGTTGTGCGTGCTGAGGCGCCGGACGACGACGGGGCCATCCTCGTCTTGGATGGGTTCTACGCCCTTCCATTTGTAGATTAGGTTCAGGGCGGGGATGGAGAGGCCGTGCCAGAAGATGCTGAAGACGACTAGCCAGTAGACGACCGGGATCATGGCCGCGGTGAGGTTGTTTTCTTCTTCCGTTAGGGCTTCGCCGGGTTCCGGGAAGAGGTGGCGTGTGTGTTCGACATAGAAGACCTAGGGGTGGGAGTCAGTATGCTGAGTACGACTGAGGGCACAATGGAATGGCTGGGACAGGGGTTGGATCAGAGAATGGGAACAACGTACAGCTCCGATGCCAATAGGGCCGAAATAGCCCATGAAAAGCGCTTCCTTCCAGTCGACCACACAGCTGGGCATGAACTTATAAGCCATGAGAATTGCTGGAATGCGTCGGAAGACGACGATCATGATACCTGGTCCCGGTCAGCTTATCCGTCACAACGGCAAACACAAACACTTACCGAGGCCAAGAAGTCGGGGTATAGTAACACCAGTGCCATCGGGATCCTGGAAAGATGCCCAAGGAATGACAGCACCGATGTACATGAAACCACCGAAGTTGAGCAGGACATCGACGACACTGTTGACCTCATCGTGGCGAGTTTCGGTTTCCTTGAGATATTGGCCATCCCAGTTCAGCCAGGTACCGGCGATGAAACAGGCGAGGAGATCATCGGTAGCAAGCATGCCGCAGGTCCCGATGATGAACAAGCTCAGACCGGTTGGCAGCATAAGATAGGACTCGCCATCGATCCAGCGTCTGGCAGTGGTTAGCTGTGAGACATCGGGGGAGGTCAGGAGATCGACATACCTTTTGAGTGCATAGCGTGCGACATACATCATACCCCAGCCGCACACGGTACCGTAGACAGCAGACATGGCAATGGCATACAGCCATGTCTCGAGACCCCAGTTGCCCAAAGCTGTTCCTACGCCGCCGCCAAGACGCCCAACGCTACCATCTTCACCTTCAGTAGCTCGTCGAAGCAGGAGGTCGATGCCACGGCGGAGTTCGGCACCATACTCGACAGCTTCTTCGTTCTCAGCGATCTCTGCAGTCAGCTCTGACGATTCGGCGTTACGGATAAGAAAGGTCGCAAGCATGAGGAAGGGAAAGCCAAAGCCATCATTGGCTCCTGCTTCGGCAGAGATCAGTTCTCGTAGATTTCGTCGAACGTACTTGTCGGAGAAAGGACCCTTGGCAACGGCTTGCGAAAGGATAGGATCGGTGCAGGTAACGCAGGAGCCGATGCCAAGCGCAGCAAGAAGCGTGAGCTTAGGTATAGTAGCCATGATGCATGCTGTAGTGCAGAGCCACATGATCGTCATGATGGGCAGCAGACAAATGAGCATCTCCTTGTACCGGTACTGCAAGAAGCGGGCGGGCAGTTGAAATCCAGCGATGACTAGTTGGATGCCGATGACAAGTCTGCACATGCTCAAGGTGATCGCAGGGACCTGGCCGACGATAGCCATTCCCCACATTCGTGCATCCAGCCATCTAGCAGCCATAGGACCGAGCATGGCACCGAGCATGACCACTGGCAGGGCCTCGCCTAGGTACCATGTGTTTTTGATCTTGACGGAGATAGCGCCAAAGGCGAGGATGAAACAGCCCAGGATCGAGATGACCACATTGAGTGTGCTTGGGTCGAGATGAATGGCCATGACGACGGTGTCTTTGCGGTTTCCCGAAGTCTTGTGAGGTGGTTCCTTCAGCGGAGGTTGCGAGAGAGCGTCCGACCAGCGGACTATTAAGAGGAGGGTGTGTGGAATTGCACTGACGACAAATTAGACATACCAGGCCTGCTGTTTGTGGGAGGTCGGGAGAGTGCTGGCGGTAGTGAGAAGTGAAGCTGATAAAGCTCTATCAGAGATCAAGACGCGTGTCAGTAGAGAGGCATGTTTGCGCAAGCTACCAGCCGTTGTAGGCCGGAGGGAACTCTGATGGAGGTTGAAACAAAAAGCCGCAGCCAGACATACGAGATTGGCAGCGCCACGAATCGAGAAGACGCAAGCCCCTACCCCTAGGGAGCCCGCTGGCATTCTCTTGGTGATCTTCCCGAAGCATGCTTGGACATTTCTAGACGTCCGCGCGGCGAGCCTACGTACCACCTTTTCACACTCTGTGCGTAGAGGTTGCCCCGATCATACAGGTAGCGGAACGGAAAGTATACCAAGTCTTCCATGTGCAGCGCTGCCACAAAGCGGATGACAGGGTGGCGGCATGCAGCTTTTGTTTGAGCATCGGCTCAAAGCATGCGGAGGAGTGAAGGCGATTCGTCCAGCGAAGGTCAAGAGTTCAGGGGCATACCAAGGCTCCGCTGAGCGACCGGCTAGGACGGCTTGGCCGCTCTGCCAAGAGAAAGACCAGGATTATGGGAGCGCCAAGCTGTCTACCTCCGTGCAGCCGCCATGCAAAAGCGGCGCCTCGGCAGCCACGCTCGGCCGGCTGTGGGCCACTTCTGAAGTACGCGAGGGGCTTCGTTTCAGATTTTGCTGCTTGTTTCCTCCTCTACCCTCGCTAGCGGCACGAGCATTGCAAATTCTCGGCATCCAGACTTTTCTGCGAGGAGCAGTCCCCCATTCCGAGCTTCTTCCGCAGCGATTGGACATGCGTGGGTTGGTAACATGATTGTCCGGGCCAGTGAGACTAGCGGTCGTCAGGGCTTCGACGGTTAATGCGGAGCACAATATGGATGCCACAGACCGCACCCGGATTTTCGCATCACTCGTCTTTCTTGGGTAATTTTTTTTATCCTGAGGTGACCAGAATCCGGGACGGACTGACAGATTGTGTGGGATTGTCATAGAATCTTGATATTCGATTATGAGAGCTGAGCCAAATTTACTTGGGCATTGATACGCCTGGACTTCTCTTCCGAACCTCTGAAGGAAGTCCAGTCGAATGCCTTAGTTCCATGGATGCCGGGTCTCCTTCCGAGGCCACGTCGGATGATCCAATCCTTGCTGTTGATTTCTTCCTCGACCTCGTCCTTCGCTAGTGGAGGTATTTTGGTAGACCCTTGCAAGCGCTTCAGAATCAGATCGTCTTCAGGTCGGCTGAAATAAACCAGGGAGTATCGTGTGGTGCCGGCTTGTGTACCTGGAGGGCTACTGACTCGGTGGATATTGCTGCGCAATAGCCCATTGGTGAACTTGACCAGGGCGTCACTGAGGTTAACAATGGCATGACCCAGCAGTGGCTTCATGTAGCACCATTCAGCCTGATCGCCGGGAGGCAGGATTTGCAGCCCACCCAACCGGTTGAAAAGTACTGTGATGCTGTCGAAATCAGTGTGCTCGGCGAGCGCCGTTCTCCTGTCATCTGGGGGCTGTGGCGGGGCTTTGATTAAATGAATCTGATCGCCTGAAATGCCCTCCAGTCGATGCATCTTAAGCAGTGTCCCCACAGGAAGTCCAAGGTGGTTGTTCAGCAACTCCCACGCCAGCAGCACAATTTCGTGAGCATATTTCGTGAAGTTCTTCATAAGCACTCGCTGAGCATTCAATACATCAGGCGTAGGCCAGCGAGTTCCCTGCTTCAAAATGTCGTCTTTGCTAACATTGTAAAACTAGGTCCGGTCGATGTTGCCCTGGCTGTCGGCAACAAAGCCGCCATAGCCTTTGTACCCAAAATAGCTGTTGTGACTCTTGGCGAAGTCATACTTGAGCTTTTCTTCGAGAGAAAGATCAAAAAGCGCTTCGCCAACGTTGAAGAGTCTGTCGCATCGGTAAGGATGTCGGCGCCTTCTGCGCAAGTGGAGAGGTCAAGGTAGAAAAAGCCAACGTCCTCGCACGCCTTGAAAAAGCGGGATAATTCGTTAGGATCGCGGGCGAGAAGTCGCAGAGAGAGATACTCTCAGCAGTGGCGCGGTTAGCACATCTTTAGGGAAAGGCGGCAGGTCGTTGAAGTCCTCCGATGGCATTCTGAGCACGTCACTCATCTCTGCGATTGTGTATGGTTGAACGAGATGCAGATCAATTGCGTCCTGGTACAACTTGTGCTTGATGGATGTGAAGAGGAGAGTCTGTCGTCCGGCCATCCAGTATCTTATAACATCTGGGACAGGCTGTGTGGAGAGCGTGCAACAACCATACACCCCCCGCTGACACCGTATACGGCTGTAATCCCTTAACACACCGATCATCTCCACAGCGCAACTGAAAATTGGCTAGAGATGGCGACTTTTTGCGTCGGTCGCGGTGGCTGCCGAGGCATCCTCGCTGGCACCGGCGCAAATCGCAAATCTGGGACTTCTGCAGAGTCACCCCCAGGATGAGTCAAGCGGGGGTGAGGGGTAGACTAGGAAACAAAGCCGTGCGGACTTCGCCCCTCTTACATCGAAGTCGCGTTTTATATGGCCACGCCACGGCTCCCTACGTGGGTTGCCAACGAGGAGTGCTAAGATGATGAGGGAGGGGCCGTAAACTGCAGAGAACGGGTCACTGACGCACGGACCTCTATGGACAACTGACTACTGTGGCCCGTGCGTCGTACCACAATAGGACTAGTCGACTTGCACCCACCAGTTTCTCGAGGTGCGCTCCCAAGAAGTTTGGATCGCCCTGCAACTCGCTGGCTGCTACATATTGATACGAATATCATGCTGGTGCATGAGTGAATGGCACGTATTACAAACCCAAGGTACATTCGGTAGCAACGGGGGGTTTGTCGCAAGTAGGGTGGCCGATTTGGCGGATGGCCGACTTCATGGGGACTAACATCAGTCTCCCTAAATAGACGAAGCATCTTGTTGCGGTTAGAGCCAGTGCTTACAAATCAAGGTCCTTGCTGGCCGTCTTCGTTTACGACACTTAATATTTCGGCTCTCATCGTGTTGTAAGTTTCTAGCAACCACATGATTCCATCTTCGAGAAAGCCACTTGGTTGGATGGTTTATCCCACAAATATCTATGAATTCTGCAAACGCTGTGACCATGAAACAATGGGTAACAGACCTCTCTGGCTTAGCAGGTCTGAGACAAGAAGCTATTCCTGTACCTGAGCCTCAGGAGGATGAGGTCCTAGTGAAGATCAGCGCTGTGTCTGTGAACTTTCGAGATGTCGAAGGTGAGTATCATATTGCTGACCATTTCTACTATATGTTTCCAGTCTAGTTTGTTAATGCGCGCTAGTATGCATCGGAGATTACGACCATTATGCCTCAATCTCGCCTCCGTCCTCAATTGTGCCCTGTTCAGACATGGTTGGGACGATTGTGAAGTTTGGCAATCGAGGCTCAGATGCTACAGCCAGTGAATGGGTCGAAGGAGACCGCGTCATGGCAATTTTTAACTTGACCCATATGACCGGGCAAATCACAGACGAACACTCGCCGTCCGGACTTGGTCTGCCTTTGCCAGGTGTGTTGAGCGAGTACAGATGCTTCCCAATTTACGGGTTGGTCAAAGTCCCGTCGTACCTTAGCGACGAGGAGGGCAGTACTCTTCCAATTGCTGTCGTGACTGCTTGGATGGCACTGAACTGGATGCGGCCTATTGGGCAACCAGTACAAGGAGCAGATAAAATCGTACTGCTACAGGGAACTGGGGGCGTTTCTATTGCCGGACTTCAACTAGCAAAGGCGAGTGGGCTTACTGGTAAGCGGTCTGTATGCTACGGTGAGTTCTACTGACATTTATAGCTATCGTTACATCGTCCTCCGACGAAAAGTTGAACAGAGCAAAAGAGCTCGGGGCCGACTATGTCATCAACTACAGAGCTACACCTGAATGGCAAGACGAAGTCTTGCACATCACTGAAGGCAAAGGCGTGGATATTATTTTCGAGCAAGGTGGGCCTCAGACCCTGGCGAAGAGTTTTACCTGTGTTAAATGGGGAGGTATGATTTCTAGTATCGGTTATCTTAGTGGAAAGCAGGATAATGCTGAGAGTAGAATTAACACAAATGTGCTCGCCTTACGACGGAATGTCACACTCAAGGGCATTTGCGTTGGGCCGAAAGATCGCCTTGAGGAAGCGCTGGAACTCTACCAGCAGAAGATTATCCACCCTATTGTGGATAAAGTTCTGCCTTTTGATCAGGCGAAAGAGGCCTTGGAGTATGTGGCTGCAGGTAGTCATTTTGGCAAGGTGGTGGTGAGCGTCGTCTGAGAGCTACTCCATTACAGGACACCAAAATCAGAAGTAACTATTGAAACCCGATGTGCAGCACCCAAAGATTTGACCATGCAGAAGGCTCATTGCCATTTGGATACTTTTGAGCACGACCGTAACCTGGGCTCATGCGCCTTCTGGCCCTTTGATCTGGCGTCCGTCCCCAGTTCCAGCTCCGCCCGCGCCCCTCATAGGTCGAAACTCCACCAAGCAACCCATCACCGCCTTGCCGCGAGCGCCCAGCCCACTCCATGTAAGATCCTTTCCATTCTACCCCTGCCTCCATTGCCGGCTTGTTGACACTCCGAATCGCGCTTCCTTACGGATATCAAATGGCCCCTAAGACTACGATATCCTATCATCCCCGCAAGCCCCGGTGGATCTTGGCAATTTGGCCATCCTTGCAAACTTGCTTGGCTCGCCCGGGGATGTCTCCCCTGTGGTCGAACGTCTGATAGGTAAGGAGTACGGAGAGTGCTTGTTTCCCTGAACTGTGGTTCCCAGCGACGAGAGATTGGTTCGAGAAGGGACCATTTCATCCCGGTAAGACCACGACACTCGGCTGCGCCTATGAGCATCACGATAAGCCGAATGAGGGTTGAAAGCACTATCGTATTCCAGCCTATCCCAATGCGTTCTTGAACTCGCGCTCGCCGCCTAGCTTCGCGATGCAACCACAAGTCCTGGCAGATTCTTGGGCATTGTTATTAAATAGCACCAGCAGCGGCTCATTTTTCCCTTCCAACAACCTCTGCTTCTAAAAGTAATCCTTTACATATTCTTCAAGATGGGCGCACTCAAGAGGGTGGTCGATATCATCGCCCCGCCCGCGAAGCAGGGCGAAGATGGACGTGACGTGTGGCCCAGTCGAACTGCTTATATTCTGGCTGCGATGGGTGGTGCTGTCGGTCTCGGAAATGTCCTCCGCTATCCCTCCCAAGTTTACAACAACTCCGGAGCGCAGTGGTTCATCCCATATTTCATGGCCATCTTCCTTGTCGCCATTCCTGTCCTCATCCTCGAAGTGGCGCTCGGCCAGGCCTTCCGCGCCGGATCAGTCGTTGCTTTCAACCAAGTGAACAAACGCCTGAAGGGTGTTGGTCTCGGCCTCATCTTCAACGGGTACACTGTCATCGTCTACTATGTCGCTATCTTGGGATGGGCCATGCACTACTGGCGCAGCGGCTTTACCGCAAACCCACCCTGGGCTGGTCGCAATGACGAATACTTTATGGAAGAGGTCATCCGCAATGGCGCCCGAAATGAAGCCGACGACGGCTGGGTCAGCTATGAGGGCCGAGGCTTGGTGCCTGAGACCACAGGCTGGGTGCTTTTCACCTGGGTTCTCGTCTGGCTGTGCATCTGGCGCGGTGTTGGCACCACTGGACGTGTCATGTGAGTCAGAACAACCACTCCTAAATTGCATTGTACTGACATGCGTACCAGCTATCTGACCATGGGTCTGCCTATCGTTCTCATCATCATCCTCATCGGTCGCGGAGCTTCGCTGCCCAACGCCTGGGACGGTATCCGCCTCTACATCGGCTCCTGGAACGGCGGAAAGCTAGCTAGTGGGCAGATTTGGACTTCAGCTCTCGGCCAGGTGTTCTTCTCGACTGGTGTCGGTTTCGGCTACTTCACATCGTACGCCTCCTACCAACAAAAGCACGCCAACGCGGTCCAGGATGCTGTCATCATCTGCATGTCCAACTCAGCGTTCGAAGTCTTCGCAGCGTTTGCTGTGTTCGGCGTCATCGGCTTTCTCGGCATGACTCCTGACCCAGAATCCCCTCTGGGCAGTTTTACCGTCGCTTTCTACGCTTATCCCGAGGCTGTGGCTCAGATGCCAGTATCTGGACTCTGGAGCTTTTTCTTCTTCTTGACCCTGATGTTCCTCGGCTTGAGCAGCTCTTGCGCCCTGATCGATGCCGTCAACACCATGGTTATGGACCTTCCGATTGGCAAGAAACTCGGCCGTGCTTGGATCGTTACCATCACCTGCATCTTCTCCTTCTGCCTGTCTTTGATATTTTGCTCCCGATTCGGATACTATCTTCTTGATGGAGTTGACACCTGGATCAACGATACTGCGCTGATCTTTGTTGTCATGTCCGAGTGTGTTGCATCGACAACGATCTATCGATACAAGGAAGCCGCCAGCCAAGTCGGTATGATGGCCTGGTCCGTCTACCAACTTGCGTACTTCCTCGCTATCTTCCTCGGCGTTCTCCTGGGACACATCGTCGATGAGCCCGTTGGCGCCGGCGTCGGCTTCGGTGTCTACATCATCGGTTCCATCATTGCGGTGCTCGTTGCCAAGACTCCCGACTGCGCCGCTTCCAGCTTCTGGAACAACAATACCTTACTCAGCAAGTTCTGGTGGATGGCTTTCTACTCGGTAAGACTAGGTGCCTTGTGCTTCCCGCGATCGTTGGCTAACAGAAATGCAGGGTGAACAACTCCGCCGCGATCTCAACGTTATCGTCGGAGCTGGTAAGAACTGGAAGATCCCCTCCTTCTGGCCCTTCCTTCTCCGCTACATCAACGGCCCCCTTCTCTGCATTGTATACTCGTTTTCGTACGACAACTTCCGCGATCCTAGCAAGAACAAGGACCCGGTCCACATCTTCGGTTTCGCCGTTGCCCACATTACCATCCTGCTGATCGCTCTCGGCCTCATCGTCCCTCGCTTCTTTAACATTCTCGTCCCCTACGAGCGTCGTGAGGATGGCAACAAGACCTTTGCCCCCAACGTCACTCTTGGCATCGATGGTGTTGACAGCGGCAGTCACTCTGTAGAGGCTGGCACCCACAGAATGCAGCCCGATATGACTGGCTACGACGCCAACAAGGAGTTGCCTCTCACCACCGGCCGCGAATTCCACAACTACTGAGCAGGGACCGACTATTTGAGCAGTACAGAGAGCAGAACTCCGGTGTCCCGGACCAACCACTTTGCATCTACGGCGGACCACGGCAGACCATGTATGCTGTTTACAACAGACCAAGCTCACTCGTTTCCCAAATCCTCATAACTTAACGTAGATCATAAGCCAGTGAAAAAGTAAGCGAGTGAGAGATACAGAATTAGGGACTTAGACCTGCAACAGGGATTCTTTTAACTATCTAAGTCTCTCCATGTAGGAGATTCCAATGCTACGGGGTTTAATATAGATAACGTGGATGCGTAGCGAGCGCGCCACTTTGTCTTCCTAACGCGTTTTCTCTACCACAACCAATGGATAGGACTAGAAAAGAACGTCAATTGTTACTGGCCATTCAGGCTATGAAGCAAGACCCTAATCTTAGCGCTCGCGTAGCTGCGAAAATAAATTCCGTCGGCCGCAGAACAGTCCAACGCCGCCTCGATGGAATTACCTCCGGACGCGACACCACGCCTAACTCAAGCAAATTAAATAAGCTGGAGGATGAGACTATTCTTAAATATTTCCTCGACCTGGATTCCAGATCATACCCTCCCCGCCTTTGTGAGGTTGAAGATATGGCCAATCAACTGCTCGCGGAGCATGACGCACCCCCAGTCGGGTGGCTTCGTCGCCTTTGACATCGCTGGCCAGAGAACCAGGCACGGGTCTGTAATCTAAAAAATGTATCCGATGATGATCAAAACTAAGTCGTCTTTCCAGATAAGTACTCCGTCCATGCTTGTTGCTCGCTCAGCAATTGAAGTAGCACTTAAATGACCGGAACACACCCCCGTCTGTCGAGCGAACACAACGGTCTCCTCCTCCAACAGACACAGTATTTCCAGTTTCACCCCTGTATTGCATGCAATTCGTGTACGCAAACACCTGACAATTTAGCGCCGATCAGTTGGGCTTCTTTTGAACTTTGGACTAGTGGAATATACTATACTAGTGGAAATCAAACTGTTCCGCAAGCTGCAACCCCCCCCCCCCCCAATTAGTATGAGCAGGCAGGGCTGGAGATAATGCTTCATTTCCGCGATGCAACGAGGACAGCATATACACGCATGATATCTACTGGACGGATGCGACAGATCAACGAAAATGCCTTGCGTCGTCCGCCTTCCCAGCGATTTACATGACCTACTGGTTCCATAATCTCACATCAATCGTCGACGCTAGCTGTGGCTCACGATGTGCTCAATTACTAGTACACCAGTCGATGGAAGCAGGTACTGTATATCAGACGGGCTTTGGGAACATAACAATACCCTCGGTAACGTCAAAGGCGCAAGCGAGAAGGAGTATCAGGATCCTGGTTTTTTCAATGTTCCGGATCCTTCAGCCCGTGCCATTGCTGGTGCTATCGGGTTTTCTGGAATCGAAGGCCAAATCAGCTCCGACATCGGTAGTGACACGCAGATGAACCAGGTGGTTTTCCTCAATCCACAAGAGAAATCTGAGCAGCACGACAGTACGGCCACCCTCACATCTGGACTTATGCATTTCACAGTACAAGGAGGGCGGAGGGGATTCATCGTGAGACGTCAGATCATCCGTCCACACTGGCCGGCATGAACAACCTCGTTAACATTGGAGACGGAGCTTCTAGAGACAGGAATAACTATTTTGAGCTGGTGTCAGAATCTATTTCCCGCCATGGTTGTATTCTGGGTTTTTGGTGAATGATCTTCTGGAACAGGCCCCTGCCCGAACATGCCAAGACGGTGAGTTCTGCGTCGAGGAAGCGGACCCTGGATCTTTCTGTCCTTGGAACTTCCTGGGAGCTGACAAAGACGAAGACTTCAGAGAATTTGAGGAGGAAGAAGACCTCAGAGAAGCGCAATCCGAGGAGTGAGTCTCTCGGCTAGGATAATAGCCTCGATAGCACGCTCAACTCTGTACAAATAGCAGCTACTTATCAGTGGCGTCCACTCATTTAGAACGAAGCTTTCGACGTTACGGCGTCTAGGATAGGAAGTTTTAGCCATATATGGCAGCTGGATAGTTAGCACTAATTCGAACACTTTTTCTCTGCTCTAGTGCGTCATGTGCCGCTTCAACTTCACCCCATCCTCCGCCCTTTCCTCCTTCTCCTTATCCACATATTTCCGTAACGCTGGCTTCATGAACGCCAGCTCATCCTCCACCTTCTCCTTAACAGCATCCCCGCCCAGCGCCAGTCGCTCATCAGGCAGCATAATAGCCCGGTCCAAGCTGTAGGGTAGCATGCGATGCCGCCCACGGATCATCATGGCGCAGATAACCACCTTGCTGAATATTCTGAACTGACCACTTAAACTGGTATTGACGCTCGGGTGTCCCAGACTCAGCCCTACGTTGCCATACGCGGATACGACCTCGAAAAAGATGCCAAAGACGTTAAAGCCTGGGTCATTATCGTCAGAGAGACGTCCCGCTTCGGCGACGCAGATGCAGAAGATGCCGCAGAAGATATACCACAGATCAAACGACAGTTGATTCTGCAGGTGTGTTAGTAGATAGGACTGGGTGTTCTGCTCGTCGAGGTCCTGGCTATTGACGTCGGCATAGATACCCAGGGAGCGCTCCTCGTAGGTGTTGGAGCTCCGGATGGACATGGCGATGGGGAAAACGGCGATGTACATCATGACAAGGAGCGAGACTTTGACGGCCGGATTGACTTCGGCAAGGTTGAAGGTCGAGGTGCCCGTGTGCCTGGAGGAAGCGGCTTGGAAGAGGGCGGCAAGTATACGTGGGCCCATGGGCAGTCCGCGTGTGACTTCGGCGTTGTCGAGGTCGAGAGTGATGATAAGGATGACGTCGAGGGTGTTGAGGGCGATGAGGATCCCAAAGAGGACCCAGGTTGGTTTGCTCGGGAAGAGGAGCGTGTAACACCGGCGAGGGTGTTCGAGGAGGAAGTTGAGCGGCTGACGGAGTTTGCTGTTCATGGGAATAGTGTTGTAGAAGAACCAGATGCTGAAGCGGAGGAAGATCGGGTAGCAGGTGTTGCCGGCGAATGCCAGGAATGTCATGATCAGCATAGGCCAGGTGGCGTCTCGGAACGACACCATCGAGTCTGGTGTGAGTGTGAACCCAAGGTTGTTGGCCATCGTCTGTGCTGAGTAAAATGCCCACCAAGTCTTCGACACTCCAGTCTCGGCTACATAATCTTGGTACTGAGCAGGGGCATTGTGGATCCAGGGAAGCAGGCAGATAAGACCAAGAAGATGGAGGCCGAAGGAGTAGGCTAAGCAAGCAGGTCAGAAAATGTCGAACGATCTTCACATGGTTTAACTGACCAACAATTAACTTCAGCAGTAGCTTGAGAGCGACATATTCGACGCCTCCCAAGATCTCTCTGTCCTCAGTAGACATATTGTTGAAGTGCGAGTTCCGTCCAATGGTTACCTGTTCAGAGAGCTTGGGCATGTCCTTCGGCAGAGTTCTGTGCCTCGACGTGCTTCTCCGACGTCGAGCTCGTTGTGTAGGTCCAATCGAGAATGCCGAAGAAGCAATTCGCTCTAACGATCGCCCTCTCTTGCGGTCTGGAGCGGGCGCCCTTGAGGTGGCGAGTCCCATCCTGCTCTCTCTCTCGGTCAAGCTGGTCAGAGTTGATTGCCGGTTGACTTCAACCAGCGGATGGCCTCTGTCTCTGAGATGGGGCGGAGGAATATAAAGCGCCTTGTCGGTGTTTGGTCTCGCTGACTCGTCCTGAAAACGAATGGTAGTCTGCCTCTGGAGATCTTGGGTGGTTGGATCGTCGTCTTCACCATCAGCGACCGGACGTCTGACAGCTTCTGCTTCTAGATCTGGCTGTGCAGTAATCGAACCACCGCGGTATGCTCTCACGGGGAGTAACTGGGCTGCAACGATGTCAGTTATGGCCGTCGGATGCGATTTGATAGCACCCACGATTTGCCTTGAAATGCTTCTCGAAACAGTATAGCCGTACGACGACAACGATTATGTTGATACACGCCATATTCGTGATGCATGGTATGATATAGATGACGATCTGCTGGTACAGCTTGATATCCTTGACATCAACGCTACCAAGGGTCAGTAACGCAGTAACCCATGGACGAGATCACGGACGTATTAAGACCAGACTCGGTGCTACCACTCGCGCCGAAGAAAAAAGCGTCGATAGCTGGGACATTGCCGGCTCCGACGATCAGAATGAATCCTATGAGAGAACAGGTGATGATATATGTGTCTGGTCGAGATCAGTCGGTACACTGCGTCGGGGACAGCCAGCCTCGAGACTCACAATGCAGCGTGAGGAAGTTGACAGGCGGCTTCCACATTGTGATGCTGAACATTCAAAGAACCAGAAGGAGAGACGGGCAAGCAGCACTGCTGAACGTACTTTTGGCCTGCTCTGCCTTTCTATATTGGTAGCACCCATATCAGATCACATGCTGGCAAGGCATTCACACGCATGCTTAGGCACGCGGGAAGGCGGCGGTAGCGTAAGGGCGAAGCTAGGTGTGGACCCTGCGACCGGCTCGAAGGGAGCCATCGCGGTGCACATGGTAACAAACATGTGCTTCAAGGTACGGCCCCGCTTCGCCAAGATAACGATCTCCGTCCTGCCGGGGAGCCCCCGCAGTTGAAGGACAGTCGATCGCAAGCTGTGTGGCGCTTCCATAAGCCGGATATGCAACCGAGGGCTGTGAACCAAAACCTTGCGATTCCAAACAACCTCGCTTCCTTCGCTAGGCCACGATGCATGGTAGACGAAGACAATGTCTTGGCGTAATTCACTCATTCGACAGCAACTTGATGGGATAACCAGCTACGTGTCGGGCCAACGATGATCATGAAGATACTAATAGGCAATGCATATGCCATCTCCGTCTTGCCGTGCCCATGAAGAAAAGGGCCGCTACATGCTGTTCGCTGGCAAGGACCAAGTAAAGCGCGCAGGTAGCAGGGCTGCGAGAGGTCCATCTGATTTGTTTTGTGTGCTGTGACATATCATATCACCAGACGGCACGACGAACCCTTATTCATCTTTCTCGCAGTCTTATACTTACTGCTTGATGCACCCTCTGAAGCGTTCCAGCCGCCCATACGTCTACACACACACAACAGCTTACGATCCTAATACTGTTATAGCCACGCCGAGCAATCTCTACAAGATGGCCAGCCAAACCATCTACATCGTCTACAGCAACAGCACCTCCCTCTGGGGTCAACTAGCATACGGCATCCGTCGTATGAGCGCCTCAACCGCCGGCACCCCCTGTGCCGCGCTGGAGCTCACGCACGGCGGGCTCAACTCCAACGAACGGCCTGAATGGCTGGACTCCAAAAAGAAGGTTCCCATTGACTTGAAGCAGCAGCACTACGATGAGATTCCAGATGACGTAAGTCTCCCTTATTTCCCGTCCGTCGTTCGTAAGCATGGCACAAAGTCAATACTAACCATGTGTAGTTGAAGAACTTCATCGAAAGCAACAGATACGAATATCCCTGTGTAGTGGGCAAGACCACAGACGGGCGCTTCCACATGCTCTTCGCCAACAGTGAAGTTACCGACTATGCGCAGTCCCCGAGCAAGTTTGTCAAGACGCTGCAAACGCGAGCGACGCAGACGGGCATGACGTGGAAATGAGTCAGGTATGCTCTGAGCCAGAGGTATCCGGCTTAGGTAGAGGAATGGCCCGTGTTTCACAGACGTCAGATAGGCTAGGTATGCATGCAACGACGATATTGTGAATGGTAGGCATCGGCAGGTTTCAATGACCATTACTTTGCTATCTGGCCCTTGACTCACAAGTGCGTTTGACGTGCGCACCAGCGATGTTCGTTCATGAGCAGCATTAACAGCAGCAGGTCCGCAGCCGAGCATGGGACATGGCGAGATCTAGATTGCTAGATGCAGTATCACAGAGCCTTTCACCCCTTGATTGGAAGCCATCAGCTGGAATTTGCCATCCTCATATTCAATCTCTCCTCAACTCTGTCATCCCAACGAGTCGCTATGCCACTATGTACGCATCGCTATGTACTCATATGCCCACCACAAAGAAAGGTAGCAGTTGAATCTCGCGTCCACAAACATGCAGAGACAGATGCCTTTTCTGGTCTATAAATTCCCGGTCCCATGTCTTTTGCCCTTTTCTCAGCATCTTCTTTCCGGGTCGTGGCTTCTCGATGACCAGGGGTGTCAGTCGATAGGACTCTTGTCCTTCCCCCACCAGCTGCTATCGAGCTGACCCGACCTTCTTTCAGAAATGATCACAAACTCTCCTTCATCATCCGACTCAAGCACTACCCGCCTTCTCGTTATTCTTCGCCGGCACTTCCGCCTCACTACTATTCTCACTTCCATCCGTGATAAACTCACCATACGCTCTCTTTTCCAGATCATCACTAGTCTGCCCCATTTCGCGAGCGCGGCGACGGAAAAAGACGCGCTTGCCCCACTTCCAGGCCTCGATGCCAGCGAAGAAGAGGATCGCTTCCACGAAGACGATTCCCCATTCCCAGGAGATGCCGGTGTGTTTGAAGACGTCGTGGTTGAGGACCTGTTGCCAAGGGTTGGTATTTGGTGTGATGGGCTGGGTGGCAGAGGAGCTGAGAGGGAGGAACTTACGGGAATGTACAGGGTTGGGAAGATGGTGACGAAGCCAGCGATGACGGCCCAGAACAGAAAGGGGTTGCGCCACACGTCGTACATCCACTGGGTAAAGTACTTCTTGCTGCCGGGCTGCATGCGGAAGAAGCTGCGGCGCATGTTGATCATTTCCCAGGCGAGGAAGAGTGCGAACCAGGTGAGGGAGACAAAGGTGGTGGCCCGGGCGCGGAAGACAGTGTCGCAGGCGGCTGAGTATGAGGTGTTGCAGCCTTCGCCGAGGTTGCCGTCGCCGAAGCCGTAGACGACGAGCAAGAAGGAGGACAGGCAGAGCGAGGCCATCCAGAGGCCATAGACGAGCATGTCGCAGCAAACCTAGGGATACTGGATAAGTATGTTGTTTCACTGTGAGGGGGATCTGTTCTTACTTCCCAAGTGAACACTCCGACTTTGAGTGGCATTGGTGGTCGCTCGAGGATATCAGGGGCGGCAATTTCCAGGCCCAGACCCATGTCAGGCATGCCGGAAGTGATCATAATGACCCACATAATCTGGACAGGCGCGAGAGGGAACACTGACAGTCCAGTGCTGTCTTTGAAGGCCAGACCGATGAGCAGTGTGCAGGCCTGGGCGATGTTTTCGGCAAGAAGATGCAGGATGAATTTCTGGATGTTGTCGAACATACGACGGCCTGTGAAGGGGTCAATTTAGTATGAAAGTGGAGCTGGGCCAGGAAACTCACCTTCTTCGATGGCGTTCAGGATGGAGGCGAAGTTGTCATCGGTCAGGACAATATCGGCAGCGTCTTTGGCGACGTCTGAGCCCGCCATGCCCATGGCGATACCGACGTCGGCGATCTTCAGAGAAGGAGAATCATTGACTCCGTCGCCAGTCTGTGGTACGAGTTAGCACCATTCTCATCTAAAGCGGGGGTAAACATACCATGGCCATGAAGGCATCTCGGCGGCGAAGGGCTTCAATCATGCGGACCTTCGTGTTGGGAGCACATCGAGCGATAACGAGAGGCAGAACAGGAAGCTGATCGAGCTCTTCGTCGGTGTGCTTGTCGAACTCTTTGGCCGTCATAACCATTGCTTTTGCAACGCTAGCCGAGACCTTGTTCATATCAGGGAGAATGTACACTTGCTTCGCGATAGCGCTAGCAGTGCCAGGATGGTCACCAGTCAGCATGTGCACTTTGATACCTGCGCGATGGCATCGCTTCACAGCTTCGGCAGATTCAGGACGTGGGGGATCGTAGAGACCGACAAGACCGCGGAAGGTCAGGTCCCGCTCAATGCTGTCTCTGGGAGGAGGGCCGTCACGCGACGCGCGGCGGCCGCTGCGGGGATCGTAGTCGCGGCTGGCCATAGCGAGGACACGAAGACCTTGAGAAGCGAGCGCCTCCATGACCTCGACAATCTTTTCCTTTCTATCCGCAGTGAAGTCGACAGTTTCGCCGCCTTCCCATACCACCGAGATGCAGGAGTCAATGACTCTTTCGACGGCGCCCTTGGTGTAGATCATCTGTTCTTGGGTTTTGCGGTCCTCGAAAATAACTGACATTTTCTTGACATCGGAATCGAAGGGATACTCGCTGACTTGCTTCCATTTAGCACCTTCTCCCTCGACGAGACCGTGACGATTGCGATCAAAGCGAGAGGCAAAGACTTGAAGAGCGATCTCAGTGGGGTCACCGAGAGCAGTCCACTCGCCTTCGTTGTTCTTGTGAACCCTAGCAACGTTGCAAAGACCAGCAACGGCGAGGAAGGCCTCGAGGTCTTCGTTGTTTTCTAACAAGGTCACAGCTGGTGTGGTCTCGTCATCATCAAGAGACTCGCTCTCAGGCAGGCCTTTGACAGGGACTTCAGTAGAGTGAGCCAGGCTGCCGGCTGTGGGGTCACATGGGTTGTTCGAGATGCCGACAGAGTAGGTGCCGCGGCTGGGGATCCATGCTTTTTTGGCAACCATCTTTCCTTGTGTGAGTGTGCCAGTCTTGTCCGAGCAGATGTCAGTTACAGCACCAAGAGCTTCCAGGGACTTGAGATTGCGAACGATGACATTCCTCTGTACCATATGCTTGGTTCCGACGGCCATGGTGATGGTCAGGACCACAATGAGCGAGGCGGGAATCATGCTGAGACCAGTAGCAACAGCATAAATGATGACTTCAGAGCGATTGGAGAACTCGTTGGCGGCCAGCACAATAATTGCGCAGACAATTGCGATACCGAACAGCAGCATTGCTAATCGTGACAGCTTTCTTTGCAGAGGAGTACCGACATTAACGCCGAGGAAATGACCAATGAAATCGCCAATAGTCAGGGTCCAAGCCTGCGCGTGTCGCAGAGGAGATGCAGTGCCGTCCTCCTTGCGCTTGACAGGTCGGCGGCGGGATTTTTCCTGGCGCAGACTCTGGGCAATAGAACCGATCTCGGTATACATGCCTGTGGCGTAGACAATTCCGCGGGCGCGACCTTTGGTCACGGTAGACGAGCTGTAAGCCACGTTCAATCGATCACCGGGTCCTGTGTCCTCATCGAAGACAGCTTCTTCGTCTTTAGCCACAGGGAGCGATTCACCGGTCAGCAAGGCCTCGTCTGTCTCAAGGTTGATCGAGTCATAGATTCTGAATGAGATGTCAGCGGCACACAAAGTAGGCAGGACCATACGAGGCACACCTGAGATCAGCTGGCACGGTATCTCCAACCTTCAGCTCGACAAGATCACCGACCACAAGTTCGGCGGTGGGGACATTGATGGTGCTTCCATCACGGACAACATTGGCCGTCGGGGAGCTGAGTGATCGAAGGGAGTCCATAGTCTTCTCAGCTTGGAACTCCTGCAAGAAACCAACGATGATGTTGAGCGCAATGACAGCTGCAACAACACCCCCCTCAATCCATGATTTGATGGCGAAGGAGACGACCATGGCCATGATAAGCACCAGCATCATGGCATTGGCAACCTGGCGGATGAGGATTTTAATCGGCTGGACGCCAGGTCCATCGTCGAGTTCGTTGCGACCAAACTCGGCCAGCTTCTCGCTGGCTTGCGCCTTCGAAAAGCCATTCTCGGCGTCAGCCCCGAGTTCTTGGACGAGTGCGTCGCGGTCCAAGGCATGAGCGGGCTTGCTCATGGACTTGTTGCTTTGCCCAGACACGTGATTCTCCATGGCGTTGAGATGTCTAGGTAAAGAAGGAGAGCAACTCACCGAGGAGGAGGGCAAGCCATCAAATACGATGCGAGGCCTTGTGGATAGTGGTAGGGGTCGGACTTGGGTTCGGGAGCCAGAGCGTACCCACCAGGTTCCCAGGCAGTCTCATCCACTTGGCGCCGGTTATCGTGTATGGAGAGGCGGCACTACGTATGCAGCTGCTTCACCATTGATCGTGGCGCTAAAGGGGAGGCTTTTCCGCCGTTTGCAGGGTTCCATCATTGCTGGAGGACGCAATGCTTGGCACGTTGGTGCTTTGTGGTGGGGGTGGCCTGGCTAGGAAGGCACGCTCAGACCAAGTACGGCCTCGCGACGGCCTATGACACGGTTGCACGGCTGCCCAGGCGGATGCCGCGGGCAAATGACGAAGAGAACACGCTTGACGGAGTGGAATACAAACGACGACGGCGCTGAAAAAGGTCTTCGATCTCAGCGATCGTAATCATGCTCTATCTTGGCACATCCGTCTTCCCGAAACAAGGTTCGTAACATGAGCTTAGACCGCTTGCTGCTATAAGACCTCATCTGCAGACTAGTTGAAGGGGGGGTGTTCCGTCATAGAACATTCTCATGAGTCTCCCTTGTTACCGGCCGACCACGACTTACTGAGATGACATCCTACGCCGATGGACCAGGTTGCTTATGGCCCAAATGCAGTCAGGCGAAGGCAGTGCTATCGGCGAAATGGCACAGCGCCGCAACAGGCGTTCAGGAAAGCCCCATCGTCGGTCGCCATGGGCCTGTGATGAATGTCGATTGAGAAAAAGAAAATGTAATGGCATGCAGCCTTGTCAGCCTTGTGTTCGCTCGGGTCTAGGTCTGTACTCATTCTGCTATGGTCGTACTCAGCAATTAACGTTGATACAGATTGTGCCTACCAGTTCCGCCGCCCGGCTCCTCCGCCAACTGCGAGGATACGGATGCTGGAGCAACATCTTCGCCAGGCATATCTGCTACTCCAAGATCATGCCAGATATCTACAACTGACTGATCGGTTGACGCTCAAGCCTGTGCTGGACATCATGAACTTCGGGGCTGAGCCCGGAATGCCACTCGCCTCCCTGGCCGGACATGAGAATCCCAGCCGTATCTCTGAGATGAACAGTATGCTGGCAGGATGTCGCCGCCTCATCTCGTCGCCGCCGTGGAACACCTACCTTTACGGACCTCTCTCAGAGACAGCTTTCATCCTGCGCGTACTGGAAATCTTCAATCTAAACAGATCGGACGTCCGCGAGGCTTTGGTGCCCACACTAGGGATCTTCGACCTGCCTTTGTCAGTCGCCAGGAATGGAGATGGCTTGATACCTCCCATGCCGTCCTTATGGGGACCCAACGAGCTTCCAAACCGAGAAGACACGCAACAATTGATAACGACGCTCTTGGGTGGCAGTCACCCGCTTATGTCTTTTCTTCATGCGCAGTACTTCCCAGAGACGGTCAACCTACTCTACGAGTCGCCTAACAATGCTGCCTGTACGCGATTTTTGCCGCTCTTTCATCAATCACTTGCAGTAGCTCATATTTTCGATAACAAAAGACATCGACAGCGTGGCTGCCACGTCGGCTTAGATACTGCTATGTATCATTTCAACGTAGGGCAGAAGTTGTTGGACGTCACGCAATCAGACAATCTCATCACTGTACAGGCCTTGCTCTGCGGTGCCATATTCCTCATGTCAACCTCTAGGATAGCGCGCGCTCACGCATTCCTGAGCCTAGCATCCTCTGGGGCCATTCGCCTGGGCCTGCATTGCGATGTCACTGCCAAGCCCAATATGACACACAGGAGCGGTCAATGCGCATATTGGTCTTCACCACGCTAGCGAGACTCGACCTATACGCCAGTCTTGTACTGGATCTACCTTCGTTACTACCAGAACCAGTGATCGATACAGGGATTAACACAGTCTATGCCACGCTTAGCAATGGGGCTCCTCAAGAGTTGGACCTAAATGCAGATGCGAACATCAAGCATTTGGAGCTTTTGAGATTTACTAGCGTCACACGGCGTGCAGTCTTCACTGATTCTACTACTGGGGAGGCCATCGAGACCATCACGACGAGCCTTATCGATGCTTTAGAGAGAAAACTGCTGCACTGGACACAAGACATCTCCCTGTTACTGGCCCAGATCAACCAGCGGGAGAAGAACTCTATAATTGGTCGAGACCTGGAGATGACTTGCAACTTTGCACAACTCATCCTTTACAGACCTTTTCTACTATATTTGAGCAACATGGCGGAAGGACGGTCCGTTCCAATCTCGCAAAGCAGGCATGCACTGGCGTGTGTCAAGCTCGCATCTACCACAATCAGTCGGCTAGAGACGTACGCGATCGCTATGCCAGATGTCCCGTTGTCTTGGAGTACAACCTACACCCTGTTTCTCGCTATCATGTGTCTAGTGTTTCTGATATCAGCACATAATGGCACGGCGCATCCCAGTGAGGCGTGGCACAGATGTGAAACTGGTATCCGACTTCTTAACAGAAACGCCTGTATCGATAACTGTGCAGCAACATGTCTCAAGATGCTGAGGGAAGTGGTACGGCAACTCAACCATACGGTTGATTTTGACCTTGATCGCATCCAAGCCACTAGTAATAGGATATGTGCAACGCCAAATCCCGACGACGGCATGATAATTCCTCGATTTGAGACCCTGGATGCATGGCCAAGTGTGGCAGATCGATCAAGACTTGCGCCTCTTAGCCATAATGTTGGGCATGGAGTCTCACAGTCTTCACGCATTTTTAACGAACGACCCATGGACGCGGATACGATGTTGGCGCATGCGGAGAATCTTGCGGTCGGCATTGACCACGAAGCCATACTGAACCACGGACACGATGAGACGTTCTTCGAGGCTGCGGGGCCAAGCCTCCAAAGCTGATACTCACTTAATGCGGTTGAACCTATACCAGGCATAAGACATCACGACCTGTGAACAAAGTTGCGGAAAATTGAGTGGAGGCTCTCTATTGTCTCATGTTGTTATGAGCCTCGGTTCCTGTATGACACCGTTGGACATGTCCGAACTCTGTTTACGACTCTATCCCGACCTCAGGAGAGATTGATCCTCGACTAGCTGGATTACTGGACTCCAGACCGTACTCCAGATTGTGGGAAGACCTGTTTGTGCAATCGGTCCAGTGTCTATGGTGGCTCCATACATATTGGTGCTGTCGTTCCTTGGGCATCTTTCCAGGACCCTGATGGCACTGGTGTTAGTATTGACAGGCTTCTTGGCCTCGGTAAGTTATTATGACCACGACCTTGAACAATGAGCCAACCCTAGCCATAGGCGTCGTGATCGTCATCTTCCGCCGCATCCATGCAATTAACGGAATATGATAGTCACACTCTTCTCCTTCCTCAATTGCTCGCCTCATGCCTTCTCATTCCGGAAGACATGGATGCAGCTCTCTGTTCGTGCTCTCTACACAAATTTCAATCGCATTTCATCGTTAATCTCGTACACATGCGTTCCGACTACCTCTTCCCTTCTAAATTACCCTCGTCCTCTCTAATCCCCTCACGGCAGACCGCTTCTCAAACTCCACATGCACAACGGACATCTCGGATCCTCGTTCACGCCTTCAACTTCTCCTGCCCCTTCAAACCCGCCCAAGCCTCGTCTATCCTCCACTTCTCGTTCCCCATCTCCTCCACCTTCCCTCCCACTGAGCTCGCTATCGCGAATCATCACTCTTCCTTGATCGTAGTGATACCTCGCCCTACGAGGACGGGGACGCGTCTTCGGCCGACGCCGTGATGCCCATGTCTGAAGACAGGAGGAGTGGTAGGCGTGGGAGCAGTGGGTGATGATGCGGATTCTTGTTGGTGGTGATTGCGGCGGCGACAGTGGCGGTTGTGGATGTGGTTGCGGTGTGGACGAGGGCATGGTGGTCGATGATGGATCAGTAATTGAGGAAGCGGGAGGGTTGGAGGGGCAAGAGAGGGTCGCGAAGGGGACGAGAGGATCGAGGCAGATGGCGCAGATAGTGGTTGGGTCCGGCGGCGTTGGGAGTTTTGGATGCATGGAGGAGGGGAGAAGAAGGCATTGGTGCAGCTTCGATGCCGTGTAAACTGTTCGAGAGGCTGGGTTGTATGCTGATAGTGGTGCCTGGACTCGCTGCAAGGCTTCTTGTGGTGGTGGTGTCGGCTGCTGAGGCAGTGGGGAGGGGTTTGATGCTGGGCGATGAGCTACTACTGCTGACTTGGTGGGATGAACCTCGTGTATCGTGGTAGGCAGGGATACGATCGTGGCTGTGCTGGGCGTTTGGGTCAACCCCGAGGATGGTGTGGGAGATGTAGATGATGTCGACTTGTGGCTGGACTTTTCGTAGACACCTGCATCGTAGACAATGCCATCGTGAAGGACGTATCTAGGCGCGACGGTATCGAGCTCAGCGCGGGTGAATGTTGTGGTGTCGGATCGTTGGTGGAAGGTATATGAGGTTGAGGGGGTAGCGGGTCTAATGGGCTGTCTGCGGATAGCAGGCCAGTTCTTAATGTGAGGGATTCGGTTGCGAGCTTTGATCCTGTGTGAAGAGCGTATGTAAGCATTTGGTCAGTTAGATGACAACCTGGCCTCATGTGGCGTGGTATGCAAGGACGAGGTACAGGACAAGGAAGGTAAACTTCGCGTACAAGACGTGCGAAACTATAATGACCACAGCAACGATACCAAAGACGATGAAGACATTCCTCAATCGCTCTCCCTTTGTCAAGTCCTGTGTATTGGAATTCCGCTTTGATCGAGCAAGATACATGACAATGTCAGGCACGACCTGGACGGCAGTGTCGTTTTCACTCGTGGCCGGATATCGAGACGGTCAGATATATGGACACTTGCGACATGGTCGATCGCACACGACATGCGACCTGTAGTGCCGCCCCTCCGAGACACCCCAGCACAGCCATACTCACGTTCCAACCGAAAGGCCCCGAAGCCGTCTTCCCAGGGCATGTGCGTGTCAGAAATGAGAACAGTAAAAGCAGCGAACTCTGGGCAGAAGCCACAGATTCGATGGCTTGCAGCAACTTAAGACTAAAGATGTTGTCGACTCGCCTAGTCCTGCTCCATAAACTTCACACCTCATCATACTTTGCGGCAAGACGGAGGTAATCAAAGTTTTAGTTGCCGCCAAGAATAGTCAGTTCGAATGCTTGGTGGGACAAGAGGAGGCTTCCGGAAAGGCATCCTGAAACGAAGAGCACTGGGTTCTTGGTTGGGAAGGAAGCGAGATAGGGTATGGAGTATGCACATGGAAACTCTGCTGGGTCGCGGATGGTTGCCAAGATCTTATGGCAACAGAAGTGTCTGAGAAAATACTCAGGCGGGCAATTCTATGGGAACTGATATCATGTCATGTCCTATGGGGAATTCGCTGTTGTACGCTTTCATGCAATGGCCTCACGCCGGGGTACTCGTCAGCTCACGTTCACTTGGGTTACCATTGCCTCTGTTGTTGTTCCGATCTGCTCGTTGCAAGAGTCTGACCAGATTGGCCTTGCTGATATCGATTTGTGCCATATCGGTGATGTGGATGTTACGTTGTGCAAGCTCCTGGATTGCTTCCTCGACACTGAGATGATCGTACGCGTGCACTACAGGAGGAGCCCTAACCCTTGTCTTCTTCTCTTTCAGCTGCAAAGGCTTCCGATTGCTGGTGGTCTGCGTGCGTCGAAGCCGTTCTGGCAAGGGTGGCAATCTGACTCCGCGTGGATGTGGTTTCGGTGAGTGCTTCGCCTCCTTGTAGGTTCGTTGTTGTGGCTCCGGCGGATAGTGCCGTCTCTGCGACACACTGAAGCTGCCTGGATGGGGAGCCATATGGGTGGCAGGCGGCATGTGCACGGGCATGGGCACGACCATATATGCTGGATAGTACATTGGTTGCATAGCATGTCCATATGAAACGGGCATTTGCTGCTGCGGCTGCTGGGGAGGCCTTGGCTTGGGTAGCTCCTGCGAATCGTAGGTCTCTGACTTCGTCATGGCTCGTCGCTTTTTGGGAGGGCCGTGCTCCCAGTGTTGCACTTCTTCATTGACCTGAGCCTGTTTTTGGCGTCTGCAAGGGCCTGAATGCGACACAACGACATCATATGTTCCGTAGTCATCGGAGCTGAAGTTCTCCAGGCATGGAGAAATGGACTCTGGAGCGGATCTTGACTCTGAGATTATGCTGGTATCGGTGCTTTCTCGCAGTGATCGTGGTCGATCGGTCTCATTCTCTGAGCTCGTGAAGCGGACTTTGTTGATGATATCCTCGATCTCCATCCCATTCGGTTGTCTGTATTATGAGGGCCCATAGATCATAAGACCAACCACGCGTCTGCGATAAATGCAAGGCGTTATATGCGTAACATGTCGGTCTATGGCCCAACATATTGGAGAAGAAAGGCTCGGCAAAACCGGTGGCTCTAGTATGAGTTCTAAAATCGTGGACGCGTCGGTGCAGGCCCGGCTCCGGGAAGACGGATATGCCAAGGAGTGGTATACCCCAGGGGCACGGATTGCAGTTGTAGGACCCTGGTCGAGGCGGCAAGACGGAGCTGCTGCTTAGCTACGTCATGCGTATTCATGCTCTCCTCCGGGTAACATCCTGCGTCGGCTCCATGCTGTACCTGCAGTCCACAAATTCTCCTACGACTAGCTCCTGATTCCTCACAGCCTGACGTGCCTGAGCAACGTGCGATTTACAAAGCCCGCTCTAGACAGCAATGCCCATCCCTGTTACTGAACATCGGAAAGCAAGATCAAGTAGTAAGGTGATAAGTCCGATCTGAAGCCTACTCAGGTCGATCATGTATCCTTGACTTCGTTGTGCCAAGCGTCCATTGCCATTGCCATTGCTATTGAACGTCGTCAATACATAAACGCCATCTCGAGACTATTACAAACCGGTCGAGGACAGTGGCACTCGGTGATTGTACTCAACGGCATCCGTTGTGTGTAGCAGCCCCCAAAGCGAGACCAGGGACATACATGTTCATCGATTGCGAGATGCAGCTTGCTGTCGCCTCGATCCATGATTAGCTACGTCGAACACAGCCCACGGGACCGGACAAGATGCAGATGTTCTCTTGGTGTGTCGCGTGAGAGCTCCGACAGACGAGGGCTTCCGTGAAACTCGTCGACCCCTAAGTGTAAAGGTGGATATGTATGCCAGAGACGAGGTATGAGATCGGCTTACGACATTGGAGAAATGCCTATCCCATAAGTAAACAAGACAAATATGGAAAGAGGAGCTTTTCAGAAACTGTAGTGGATATCGTATGAGTTTTACACACGTGATAACGACACAGCCCGTACAGTGTGTTACCGACTCTAGCACCCTCTAGAGAGCGCAATGTAACTTGACTTGCCCCTATCATGGTGGAAAGAAACTATGGCTATCACTATCTAGAACGAGGGGGCGTTGAGAGCCAAAAGGCAGATAAGGCCAGCAATGAGACCGGCAGAGGGAAGAGTGAGAACCCAGCCCATGAAGATGAAAGCGATCTGGCGCCAGTTGACGGCCTTCGCATCGTAGTTCATCAGGGCAACACCAACGGCAGCACCAGTAAGGCACTGGGTGGTAGAGACCGGCAGACCAAGACGGGAAGCCATAAGCACGGTCGTGGCGGCACCCAGCTCGATAGCATACCCACGGGTCGGGCTCATCTGGGTGATCTTGTTGCCAAGGGCGCGGATGATATGGTAGCCCATGAACCAGAAGCCAAGACCCAGCATCAGACCACCGATAACGAGGAGCCAGACTGGAGTAGGAGAGCGAGTGTTAACCTCGCCGGAGTTATAGGTGGCGTAGACAGCGGCAAGAGGACCGACGGCGTTAGCAATATCATTAGAACCATGAGCGATGGACATGAGGATGGCGGACATAACTTGGCAGTAGGTCCAGAGATGCTCGACACGAACATCGTAGCGGTTGGCACGGCTGTGGATGGCACGGAGAAGATCAGAGTTGTGACTGATTGCGTCGATGGTCACACCGCGAAGGAGAAGGAACTTGCCCCAATTCCAAAGCTTTTTGGGGTTAAGCCATGACAGTTCCTGGACAGGTACGATCCACCGCTTGTAGGGAGCGACGTAGCCGGTCTTGTTGACGGGAGCGGCACCACGCTCGGTGCTTGGGGAAGGCGAGTCCGAAAGAGCCTTGCCCTCGTCATCAGCGTAGTTCTTGCCAGTAACTGTGGGCTCGGTAGTCGCGCGTTCCTGGTCGGACTCGAGCCGGGGAGCATTGTGGTGGGCCTTCTCGCCAGCAGCGACGGTGCCGTAAGAATCGGCATAGTAGTTGATGACATATTCGTTGCCCTTGCCAGGAAAGTAGAGGGGGACATTATCCTTGCGGAGGAGAGGACCCATCGGGATATGCCAAAGTCGTACACGGGGGTCCTTCTTAATGAGCTTGCGCTCGAAGAAGGGCACGAAGAAGATATAGCAGATGAGGGTGACACCAGCCCAAACACCAAGGATGATACCGGTAGCAATGCCGGCGCCGAGTGCATCAATGTCAGACCCGGGTGCTTCGATGGTGATGAACAAGGCGAGGATAGCAGCTGTGAAACCGAAGTAGATGGGGATCAACCGCATGCCCCACTTGAAGCTGTCCTTGCGCTCAAGCACAGAGTACTTGAGAACAGCAAAGTAGAGTGCAGCGAAAGCTCCAGCGATGGCAGGCGCAATACCCCAGGACGCGGCGACCTGAGATACACTGCCGCCAGTCCATTCCCATTTAATAGGCGCCTGGGTTGCGAAGCCCACACCGACGAGGGCGCCCACAATGGTCTGAGTGGTGGACACTGGCATACCCTTGGATGTAGCGAACATCAGCCAAGTTGCACTGCCGACCTCCGCACAGCCCATAGCCAGCATGAGCACGCTCGGGCGGTTCTCAAAACGATCGATACTGATGATTGAATTCTTGATAGTGCTGGTGACACGGGCACCAAGCTATGTTCGCATTAGCATAGATTTGCATCTCCTCAGTCGAAGAACGTACGACAACGGCTCCGAAGAACTCGGTCAAGACTGCAAGGAACCCGACCTGGACCATGGTCAGGGTGCGAGCAGCGACGGAAGTTGCATAGGCATTGGCGACGTCGTTGGCGCCGTTGCCGAAGGCAGAGAATATGTAGGCAATGAAGGTGATGGCGAGGATCCAATCATATGGTGCAGTTGCTTCCGACTGGCGGGCTACGAGAGTGTTGAGGAACTCCGGCATCGCGTCGATGGCTTAGGGGTCGTCACGAGAACTGGGATTTGCTCGCTGTTGTGACGAAGAAACCTTCCAGACAGGCCGTCTTCCAGATGCTTTCCAATATATAGCATCTTGTCTGTGTCTAATTCTGCGAGATGATTTTCAGGTCGCATCTCGTGAAGAAGTTCGAGATTCATGTGTAGAACCATCCAAGCGTGTGGCTGCTCACACGTGTTGTCGAGAATGTCGCAGACTGGCTCGTTAACGCAGATCTGGTGGGAACTGAATATGCTTGGGAGCCCATTCAGGCCCAGGGTCTGATCCATCATGGACTCAATGGCCGAAAAGGAGGGTTGAAGGGGAAGAAGGGCAAAACGCGAAGCATTGCTGGGCAATCAGAGACATCGGCTTGGCAGGATTCAAGCGCAGGATTACGGACGATATGGTATGATGATAGGCTCGGAAGGAGGGGACACTCGAAAACGACAAAGGGATTCACAAATCCCCGATAGAGGGGTCAACCCGAGATGAAGAGAGACAGGTCTTGGCGGTACCTGTCAGTGCCAAGCAGTACATCGCCGCCTTGCCGGATGTCTTAGCGAGGTGGTATAGTGGCTCATCTTGGAGCCGGCTGCTAATCAGAAGCCGTCGCCTCAACCTTACCATCGCCATTGGGCGGAGAGACTATGCTTTGCTCTTGGCGGGAGCTCGCGGATGGCTTGGCATCTGGATCCTTGCATCTGGGCATTGACATGCTGATGCCGCAAGAGCAGGAACGCGGCTGAAATTGACACATATGAGAAGACCCTAGCCAGTTAGCTTCTTTACGCCGCCCACGTGCTGCGACCTCCTTCTCATGCGCATAACACCAGCTCTTCGCCTGCCTTTCGACCCTTGTATCGATGGCGACAATGTGGACTCTTGGACTCTTGGTTGGACCCTTGCTTTTTCGTAACGACATTGTGATGCAAGCTGAGCTCGATTCATCGTTGTCGGAAGTCGTTATTCGACAATACGTACTTGATGGCTTCGTGCCCCTTCTAATCCCCAGGGCTCGTCACAACGCTGAGAACACGCGGCATCACCGCGCGAATACTGGCCTCAACATGCAGGTTCTTCCATCCGCCACTTAGTCCTTGGCATTACTCTCAGCTAGCCGCTCCGCTGAACTAGCCTGGCCGCACTACCCCCGTCCAGCAGTAAAACGTGTGTGAGTTTGAAGTTTCAACAGGGGTCATGATCGCAACAGTACGAACTTTTTCGATCATGAATTGATGATAATTCTGCCAAGACTGCTCGTGGTGATGTTAAAGACCATTTCGCGCTTCGTAGAATATGCCAGAGCGTTACCTGGCGAAGAACCCTTTGAAGTTCTCTCTTTCCTTCGAGAGCGGGTTCTGTGACGTGTACACAGTCTTTGTACTAAGGACTCTAAGCGATATGGGACACAAAAGCGCGCAATCACTGTCTCTGAACAGAGGCTTTGAGCTCTGATGCACTGAACGAGTCATTTCAACAAGCCACGACACGACTTATTTGTCCTAGGAACATCACGACAAGCGGCGGAGATCACAGTAAGCATGGCCGACAACGTCTCTGCCTTCCGCGACCGTTCCCAGCACCCTTCCATCGGTGGAGATTTCCTCATTCCCGAGGGCTGGGGCTATCTTGCCACGCCCCGTACCAACGATCTGCGCACTCGCCTCGGCTCCCAGCCCAGCAGTAACATCGAACAGGAGACGCAACGCGTCAATAGCTACCAGCTCATCCAGCCATCACCACGGCTCCACCAGGAGCTTCGCACGTCCGCTGGCTTCGCACAAGATCCTTACGTGCTGATGCCCAGCCAAATGAGCAACCGCCTCGGTGACTTCGGTGGTGGCAGCGGCAATACTCTTCTTTGTGGGTCGCTGGGCCAGCAGCATCAGCAGCAATGCCAGCAACTCGTTATGGTCCCCGTGTACATTCCCATCTACGGTTCGCCGGACCAGCGATGGCCCGGCACCTCAATGACCGGGCACCAACAAGGAACCTCACAAGGCGCACCGCCCGGCCACCAGGGCATGCACATGCCCATTTCAGGCTGTGGACTGGTACAGTATCCTTTGGCCCCTACACTAATCGGCCCTGTGGAGAAGCAGAAGAAGCGTCGTGCGCCACCCAGTCCACAGTATTTGCATATGACGGTGCAAGAGATGATTGAGGAGTTGGCGTACAGGAATGTTGACACTGCGCAGCTGCAGGCGAAGAGGGCGAAAAAGGCCGATTACATTGGGCAGTTGCAGTGGGCGGATCGGGAAGGCATTCGGGGGAGGGGTGCATGGAAGAGCTGCCATGGGAATGCGCCGCCGCTGTCGGAGATCATAAGGAATAAATGAGGACATACCGATGATTATGCGTCGAGATGGAGATCATTGGTGGGAATCTCCTAGGTACTTATGGAGCTGCTCGAGGCGGCCTTGGGACTTCTGGTGTTCAGGAGATTCAGAATGTTGTCACTTTCTTCGATGTTAAATTTGGTTGTTTCCAAAGTTTTCAATGTCAGCAATATGACAGCACGCAGTAGTTCACACGACGAGCGGAACGGCCGGCGTCAACGACGTTTCAACCTTGGCACCAGAAGCCAATCGATGGTCTGAGTATTTTTCCCCTAGCGCCATTCCGAGATGAACACAAGCTGCTCACGGGCGGTTTTGAATACCAGGTCATGGCTTGATTCACGAAGGCTTCGCTTTCTATACAGATACCCTCAGATCGTTCACCTTGACCAGCGACCTTGACTAGCGACCAATGGACAACCACAGGCACCACATCCGAGGCGAAAACCCCGTTCCGGAGGCAATCATGCTGTTTACATATTTGTAGATCTGGGACACTGATGACATCGCGGCAGACTTCGACTACTGTAGTATTAAATGCCTTCATTTCTACAGCACGCGACTGCTTAAGTTTGAAAGGGCTGCTCAACTTGGATTGAACTAGATATGCTGAATGCAGTCCATCGCGTGAGTGGAATATTCCTTTCCAATGAACTCGAAGTGATACGTCAAATCCACGTGCTTTACAATATCTTCTCCATCCACTCTGAGAATCGTTGATATTCCAATGCACTCATGTAATGGATCCAGAGGCCCAAGCAGCTTTCAAGAATCTTCAGGAGTAGCGCCTGAGAGCCGCCATGTATTCCCTTCAAGATCCGCAAGACGCGCGACAACCATAGCACGGTACATTCGCAAAGGAGTAAGCTGTATCACTGATTCCTTCAGGACTCGGCGGTATGTCTCTCGTGCAGCCTCCATCTGGCCTGCTTCTGTGAGGGCTCGGCCCAGCATGACCTGACAGTTGATCTTCAACAACCGAGAGTTTCTGTCTCTTTCCTGGCACATCAACAAGCACTGCTCAAGTGCGTCAAGGATCTGAGAGTCTTGGGCACGGTACAGGTCATGCCAACACTCATAGAGACGACAGACAACGGTGTTAGGATGTGCCGGACCAAAAGTTTCACGGCATGCTTGTGTAGCGTCCTTTAGGCTGCCACCCAAGGACTCGATGGAGTGCCACCCTTCCTTGCTCACAGCAGCTATGTATCGGAAAGGAACAGATTGTGGATAACCAGCGTCTGGCAGAGCGTCAAACATGGCGCACCCATCATGTAGCCAAGCCTCGAACTGTGCTTCACACCCGGCAGCAGGCAGAATAGTCGCAATCCAATTGAGGAGTACTAAAGCAGGCATGTCGACGTTCGTATCAGTTATCGCTTCTCGAAGACTCTCCAAGGCTTCATCATGCGCGAAGATGAACCCAGGAGGTGCGCTTGAGGGATGAAAGAACGACGGCGTTATATACAGCCATTCTTCCGGTGTCGTCATGTTCGGATTTCAGCCAACGTAGAAAGAAAATACAAGAGCTGGACATGTGCAACAGTGGGATGAGATGACTGACCTTGGAGAAGAGCTGAAGACGCAGATACAAGTCTTATGTCTCGCAGGAGGACTCGGTTGGGATACGAGATGAAGGGAACGTATCTTGGCTGCTCATACTACACCAAGCATGATTGGAAGCGCTCTCCAGAGGTTGGGATGACCGTGGATCACCTTCTTGTCAAGGAACACCAATAGCTGCAGCTGTGTTGGCGACAATGTCAGAGCACCCAAGTCAGCAGGACAAAAGCAGGATGAATACTCGATGCATGCAATGGCTCGGCTACCGTCTCCGTATCAAATCAGGGTGTGTCAGCCACATTGCTTCTAAGCCTATCGGAACGCACAAAAGTTCGGATCTTGGTTCATCTTCGGTTCCTCTACAGAGTGAGGGCCACAATAGCCCCTTGGCACAACTCTACGTCTATGTGGAGCATTTATCGCCTCTGGCAGCGAACTTCCAACTCACCCGTTCAGGAAGGAGCCTTTCGCCTAAGTGGCATTTCATCACACTGTATCTGCAGCCTTTCCCATGTGCTTTCTTTTCCGCGGCGGCGCGTCTTTTAGTGTTGGAAGAGGATGGTAGAACGTCTCAAGTGTGTGATACGCCAACGGTAGAAGAGATTAATTGTGTGCTGAGCCAATTTTTCATTACGAATTAATCCGGGGGTGGATGTGCTCAACGTTGGCTTCGCCAAGGATGAAGTGGCGCACGGAAGAGCTACCATGGGCATGTGCCGCCGCTATCAGACATCGAGAGGAAAGAAATGTAGACGTTTGAATGATTCCACTCCGTCATCTGAATTATCCTGGATCTTTAGGAAAGTTCTACGCGTGTAGTATGAGCAACTCGCATATGCTCCCTGCCGGCAAGCATAGCATCATTTCCCAGAAAGTTCGAAAATTCGGCGAGGCTGAAGCGCAGCCCTGCCAAGACGGGGTTTGATCGCTGCGATGTAGTCGGCCTTGCATAGGTCGCTCCTCAGCTCACTCCGGCAGCTATCTATTTCGTCGTGCCTCCTATTCTTGACGATAACGATGTCGTTTTTAACTCTCCCAGAGGAGTGTCGATTGATGGTGTATAGATACGCATTTAAAGACATGCGAGTCAAAGGCGATGCGGCCGACCTCGTGGTCATTGGGGGAGCACACGACGCGAGATACGGCGCATCCGAGTGGTGGACGACATTCTACCTCGCATGTGTTGATGCGACCGCCAATGGCGCAGATGATCCAACATTGCATAGCTTCCGTATCGTTGCTGCCGTGTCGCGACCTGCTATTACCATTACAGATATGCGGTTCCTTAATCGACATGGAAAAGCGCACTATCTGACACCTTTCGACAGGTCTGCCACACCTCGATGGCCAGTGTCGGCAAGGTCAGTAGTACTGGAATATTGGGACTGTACGGCGACCGCAAAGCCGGCATGATAGGGGGGTCAAATAGGCAGCAGAGTGCCAAGACTTTGACTTCAAAGATTGTCACCCCGTTGTTTAGGCAGCTAATGGGACGTCGTTCTGTTTGCTCCGATAGTGAGCGCAGACACAGTAGCCAAACCCATCGTTGTTGGACAAGCAGGACAGGTGGATCGTTTGCTGCATCGGAATCTAAATCTCAGTGTCAGGACCCCAACTCACTTGACTGTCAATCACTGACGTACCTACCAACCGACCAAGAGTCTCTGTTCAGCTGGATGTCTTCCTTCGGCACGGGCGAGCTATACGATGGCGCTATCACCGTCGACCTTCCCACCACAATGATCGACGCCAGCGACATCCGCCAGATTCCCGACCATCAAGAAGTTTTCCTTTCCGGCAATGTCACGTCCCTCGTTCGAGTGCCTTTGGAGTTCGTAGCGCTAGGAATTCGCTCTTCGTCGTAGATCGTTGACTTGCGGGTGGTGTTGAGATCGGTGTTGACAATCTCTACAACGGTGATGGCAATGATCGTGGTGCTGATCTCCTGTTGAATCCACTGAGCTACAAAGCCTTCAGGGACACCTTGCACAGTGCATTTATTGACACAGGCGTTTTGGGATCGGAGCTTCCACAGTGGAGGATTGCACAGCGAATGGGTGTGCAGGCATCTCTGGCTCAATTATATTCTACTCTATGAAACAATTCCTCCGCTGCGGCTGCTGAGGGATCGCTTATTACCAAACTCGACATAGAATATCAGGCCCATAGTCGCAGATCCCCCGAATCGCCTGGGACGAGCTCCGTTGCCAACTTACCGTTATGCATTCATCTATGCACTGCACCAGAGTATTGTGCGATTACTCTTCGGACAAGGACCCGGGTGGATAAAATAAATTCCTGTCCAGCTATTGGACAGATCTCCAGATTTGCGGAAGCTGGACAGCAGGGGTAAGCGGTGGAACGATCATTGGTTGCTCTACTCTTACCCGTCCCCAACTGGGAGTCAGGACATGCGTACAAAGTACACTACGTCACGGTTGCGGCAAGGCAGAGTCATTTGCCAGTGAGAGAGGCTCTAGCTTCATACCGTGCACAGGTATCCAGACCTATGACGGAGCGACTGACCTATGAACGAAATCTTCACTCTCCAGAAGACCGTAAAGATAGATCTGTAAAGGGTGGCAGCACCGCCACAGGACTTTCCAAAGCAGCCATTTCCTCCTCTTGCTGCCACAACAGTAATGTGTCAGCCACAGTGCTGGTGTGGGGATGTGTAGGACCAAGGACCTTGTTGCATAATTTAAGGCAAGTGGCGAGTAGATCCATGGCTTCACCAGGCGACCGTGTAACCTTCAGAGTGTTTGCCAAGTTGTTCATACTGATCAGTGTTTCAGGATGCTCCTCCCCCAGCACCCTCTTTCTAATCTCCATCACCTGCATATCCAGTTCTTCCGCCTCCTTCCATCGCCCCTGATTGTGATAGGCCCAGGCCAGGTTGGCCATGCTGGTCAGCGTGGATGGATGCTCCTCCCCCAACACCCGCATCATCAGCCCAACCACTTGCACAACCAGCTCTTCTGCCTCCTTCCATCGACCTTGACTGCCATAGGTCGACGCCAGGTTCGTCATGCTGCCCAGCGTGGATGGATGCTCCTCGCCCAGCACCCTCTTTCTGATCTCCATCATTTGCAGCTCCAGCTCTCCCGCCTCCTTCCATCGCCCTTGACTCCCGTAGGTCACTGCCAGGTTGCCCACGCTGGTCAGAGTGTCGGGATGCTCCTCTCCCAGCACCCGCGTCATGATCCCTGTCACTTGCACCTCCAGCTCTTCCGCCTCCTTCCATTGTCCTTGGTTGCGGTAGGTCGAAGCTAGGTAGCCTATGCTATTCAGCGTGTCGGGATGCTCCTTTCCTAGCACCCGCATCATGATCTCCGTAACCTGCACAAACAGCTCTTCCGCCTCCTTCCATCGACCTTGATCAGAATAGGTTGACGCTAGGGTGACCATGCTGATCAGCGTGTCAGGATGCTCCCCCCCCAGCACCCTCTTTCTGGTCTCCGTCACTTGCACAAACAGTTCTTCCGCCTCCTTCCATCGCCCTTGATTGCGGTAGGCCCAGGCCAGGTTGGCCATGCTGCTCAGCGTATTAGGATGCTCCTGCCCCAGCACCCGCGCTCTGATCTCTTTCACGTGCACGTCCAGCTTTTCCGCCTCCTTCCATCGCCCTTGTTTCTGGTAGGTCGACGCCAGGTTGCCCATGCTGTTCAATGTGTCGGGATGCTCCGGCCCCAGCACCGTCGTCATGGACTCCTGCACTCGTACAAACAGCTCTTCCGCCTCCTTCCATCGACCTTGACTGCCGTAGGTCGAGGCCAGTTTGGCCATGCTGGTCAGCGTGGAGGGATGCTCCTCTCCCAGCACCCGCGTCATGATCCCTGTCACTTGCACCTCCAGCTCTTCCGCCTCCTTCCATCGCCCTTGATTCCAATAAGTCGAGGCCAGATTGTCCATGCTGGTCAGCGTGTCGGGATGGTCCTCCCCCAGCACCCTCTTTCTGATCTCCACACAGCGCAAAAACAAATCAGCAGCCCCAGTCCCTATGCCTTCGTCGTACAAAATCTCAGCTATCTCCATCCATCCACATGCCAGCCCCGTCTCATTTACCATGTTCAAATCCGGGTGGTCACCAGGGCC